CCAAAGTGAGGTCGACAAAATGCTCGCCAAGGACATCATTGAGCCATCCTGCAGTCCTTGGGCTTCTCCTGTAGTGCTAGACCGCAAGAAAGACGGTGCATGGCGTTTCTGCGTGGATTATCGACACCTAAACAAAATTACCAAAAAAGACGTCTACTCTCTGCCACGAATAGATGATGCGCTTGATTGCCTCTATGGGTCCCACTATTTTTCCTCCATAGACCTTCGTTCCGGCTACTGGCAGATAGAGGTAGATGAAATGGACCGTAAAAAGACGGCATTCATCACCCCCGATGGCCTATATCAGTTCAAGGTCATGCCCTTCGGCCTTTGTAACGCTCCAGCCACCTTCGAGCGAATGATGGACTCCCTGCTCAGAGGATTCAAATGGTCCACCTGTTTGTGCTACTTGGACGACGTCATCGTCTTTTCACCAACATTTGAAACTCACATAGAGCGCCTCTCAGCCATCCTGGGAATCTTCTGTCGCGCTGGCCTGCAGCTCAACTCGTCCAAATGTCACTTTGGACGCCATCAAATCACAGTGCTTGGCCATTTAGTAGACGCCAACGGTGTACAACCAGACCCGGCGCGAGAGAGAGGGGTGCGCGCGCAGATGCAGCGAGCGAGGAGAGCGGAGGAGCGAGCGAAGGGGGAGGGGGTATAAGGCGCGTTACTGACACCGATATCAGCGTCGCGTCCGTGGCTTATTCGGTAGAGCGTCGCGCTGCGGCCCGCCAAGTCCTCTTTCTTTTAAAGATAGAGAGAAGACTGCGGACGCCGCCGACGGCAGTGGATGGTTTGGGGTCGCTTATAAAGTGTATTCACACTTAAAATTTTGCGCACATAGCGAGGCTGCTTACGCAGCTCCTCAAGAAAGAAGTACCGTTTTCATGGGGCTCCGAAGAGGCTTCTGCGTTCTCGACTCTCGTCGCCTTCTCACTACCCCTCCGATTCTGGCACACTTCTACCCTGCTGCCCCTACGGAAATCCGTACAGATGCAAGTGGGCATGGCATTGGTGCAGTGCTGGCTCAGTAACAACATGGCCATGATTGCGTTATTGCATATGCCAGCCGCCTCCAATCCGCCCCTGAACGTAACTATTCGATAACAGAGCGTGAGTGCTTGGCTCTTGTATGGACGGTGGCAAAATTTCGACCTTATCTATACGGATGCCCATTTTCTGTGGATGGATGGATGGATATGGCTGTACCCTTTAGATCGGGCGGTGGCTAGTGCCACCAAGCCGTAATACTTAATGAACCCAAAACTATATTTATTTTTTTCCCTAAAAAGTGAGTTTGAGGATTCGGTAGTTACCGACCACCACGCACTCTGGTGGCTCAACTCTCTGAAAGATCCATCAGGCCGCCTTGGTCGCTGGGCTTTGCGCCTGCAAGAGTTTTCCTATTCGGTGGTCTACAAATCTGGCCACCTACACAATGATGCCGATTGCCTCTCCCGGTACCCTGTCGACGATCCTGAGGACACTGACGAGCCCACGGAGAACTCTATCTTGTCAGTGTCCGACTTCCTTAATACTGGGGAAGAACAGAAGCGTGATCCAGAGCTGCTTGACATCATCAGCCGTATGGAATCCTCCACAAATGATGCTTCCGTCTGCTACTTTGTCATTCAAAAGGGTGGGCTATACCGTCACAATTTCCGACCAGACGGGCCCGACCTCATTGTTGTGCCTAAGCATTTGCGCCGCTGTGTTCTCACCGAACTTCACGACGCTCCCACGGCTGGACACCTTGGCGTATCCCGCACGTACGAGCGCGTCCGGCGCCGTTTTTTCTGTCCAGGCCTTGCTCGTTCGGTAAGCCAATACGTTGCCACGTGTAACCTATGCCAACGTCGTAAAACACTGTCACTGCTACCCGCTGGCCATCTTCAACCAATTGACATACCCGCGGAACCATTTTACCGTGTTGGGTTAGACCTGCTTGGTCCTTTTCCCACATCAACATTGGGAAACAAGTGGATAGCCGTTATTACAGACTACGCTACACGCTACGCTATTACGCGAGCTCTACCGACCAGCTGTGCAACCGACGTCGTTGACTTCTTGTTACGGGACGTTATATTGATTCACGGTGCCCCGAGACAGCTTCTCACAGACCGTGGCCGTACATTTCTATCCCAAGTCACCGCCGACATTCTGCGTTCTTGTTCCGCGCAACACACACTGACAACCGCTTACCACCCTCAAAAAAAAAACGGCCTCACGGAACAATTTAACCGCACTTTAACAAATATGCTCGCTATGTACGTGTCGCCCGACCACCGAGACTGGGACCTTGCCTTACCCTACGCAACTTTCGCGTATAATTCATCCCGTCACGACACAGCGGGCTTTTCGCCGTTCTACTTATTGTACGGAAGAGAGCCGACTTTACCACTGGACACAGTCATCTCAGCTCACACCTCGTCCACCAGCGAGTATGCCTGCGACGCGATTGCGCGAGCCGATCATGCCCGTCAGCTCGCTCGCGCTCGGCTGAAGGCGTCGCAAACCAACCAATGCCATCGGTACGATGCGGAACATAGAGACGTACATTTCGCTTCCGGTACCCTCGTTTTACTCTGGTCCCCTCATCGTCGGCTGGGCTTATCCGAAAAACTTCTGCCTCATTACATGGGACCCTACCGTATATTGCGTCAATTAACACCTGTCACCTACGAGATCAGCCCCATCTGTCCATCATCATCTACTATGCGGCCCAGTGATATTGTACACGTCTCGCGGATCAAGCCCTACAATAATGCGTCAGATAACGACCTTTAAAGCGCCTGGACGGTGCCTCCGCCGCCGGGAGTCATGCTACGTGCCAGTGCATGGAGCTGAAGAAGACAAAGCAGATAGACTGGCGCGAGCTAATCTGTGTGGCTGGCGCTGCTCGCCTAACCGGCTGTAAATACATCGTTGACTACCCCTCTGAGTCAGTCTCCTTCCCGTAACAATATTTTCAAGTTTGTTGAGGAGACTGGGTATTTGATAGTCAGTATGTTACTGACCATAGGTGGTCCCAGTTCTCGGTGTTCTTATGCCAGGTGTACGGAGACAGTACTCAACACACCGAGAAGAATCAAACATGGGGTATGGTTTGCTATTTTTATGTACAAAAGTAACTTGTAGTAATATATTTGGTTTGCTTGTAATAAGCAATATTTGGAAAATAACGGACGTGTGCTCAAATTTTGCGGGTGACCGTAGTATCCTTCGATTAGTCGTAGTACTTTTTTTTTCTGTAACGTGAGTAACGTTTTATAGTTCTGTGCTGTCGTTGTTCCCCAACACAAGACACAATAACTTAGCCTGGAGTAGAACAGTGTACAATATAACGATTTTTTGGGCCAAAGGAGTAATAATGGAAATAGTCTGTACATACATCTAACGCTTCTACTTAGGTCTGCTACTAATTTATTATGTGTTCATTCCAAGAAATGTCCTCCTGGAACCACACGCCTAAAAATTTCTGTACCCTTGTTCCAAAGGGCAGGCCCTCAAAGGAGACATTTATACTTTTGTTTCATGGATTGTTCATAGGCGCAAACAACACAACTTTAGTTTCCCTACATTTCGTTTCATTTACATCTATTCGCCGTAGCGAAAAAACCAAAGCATTCTCTTTTTTATGGAAGTTTTGAACCTACTAGGAGGCGCACCAGGAACGTAAGCGAGCAGGAAAGGGGAGAGTGTTGCTACTTCGGAAACTTGTTTGATCAAGGGACCTTACGCTGGCTCCTACAGGGGTGCTTGTACCCCTATGGTAACTGGGAATTATGAGAAGTGGAGGCTTCGGATCCGCTTATGGATTACGTTCTTGCGATTCGCGACGCTTTTTTTTTTTTTCAGAGTGCAAAGCAATGTGACAGGAACTTAAATTTATTTGAAACTTGCTTCACTTGTTATACGCAAACTGAATTGCAAAAAGTTTTTTTTTTTTTTGACCAGGTGACAAACGTGAAACCCGGGCTGCTATTCTGGACACCAATTCCGTCATATTGTCAAATTTCATAATGGTGGCTGTTTTAAGCCAATCAGAGAGGTCGTAGCAGCTCACTTGACCAATTAGCATCGATGAATGGTGGAATCTGACCACATGGCGGAATGTGACAATGTCCAGAATAGCACTAGAGACCATTCTAGTACACTCTAGTAGCACCCCTGGGCGAATTCCCAAGGAGGATTAAAGATCATCAGGGTATGCATCGCTCTTCCAATGCGTTCCAGATTTGGCATCAAGATTTAATGATTTATTTTTTACAACTCTTCTAAACAAACGTGCTTGTTTTTCTTCGGAATTACGCATTATGTATTAATAACAACACAGTATAAAGTGGGAAACACTTATGGTTTCTACTTCTGCGATGCTAAGTGCGTCTGTTACAGTGATCGGCCCCAGCGCACCTCTGGCTAAGTAGACGCACCATCAGAGGAGCGTGACGGTGCGTCTGCTTAGCTTTGTCATTGCTTTGCAGTCGATTTAAAACGAGTTTAGACAAGACGCGCTCGTGAAAAACATGAACGCAAGGCAATATCCTGCCCTGGCATGAGACACTACATCTAGGCGCAGCAGTGAGTGAACGGCGCTTCGTTTAATCAAACTGTTAAATACAACTCGCCTCACAGCAAATCTGTAGAACTAGTGGTCGTCAGTCTCTTCGAGCAACAGGGCACTGCTTCAGCCTGTTTTACCGCACCCCACTACCCGCGCTCCGCGAAGAACGAAACTGAAACTGTAAAAACAGTCTGTAGATAGTTCACGTGCTAATCCCATCCAAATCAAAACCTCAGGGTATACAATTGCAGCGCCAAATTTTCCTATAGGTATTATTGTATGAAACTTTATGGTTAATACATTCTAGGGTGTAGTAAAAACAAGTCTCGGAGGCAATGTTGTGCCACGCTTTTGATTGCGAGTGCCGAAAAACAGTTACTATCATCATCGTGCTTTTAATTTTTTTTGCCGAAAGACGATTGCCATCGTCATCGTGATTCTACTTCCGTTAGGTTTTCGTTTGACCGCGACTTGAAATGCGCCCGCTAAGGGTTTACGTAGTGTGTGTGCTTGCTAACTCGTTGTTGCCCATGTTGCTCGCTTTTGCAGTCTACTAGGCCGGTAAGAAGATCAGCTGCTCCGCCTTGGCAAAGCATACCGACAGAGTTTAACCAAGCTCCAACTTCCCCCAAGCCTGCCAATGTCGTCAATCAAGCAGCCGGTACGATAAGCCGTTGGTGCATTCTCTTTCATGTGTTTCTCCTCGTTTCGTAGGCTGTGTCTGAACAGTTTTAGCGTATCGGTGCTGATTTATAACGACCGGGGAAAATCATTGGCATCTATAAAGTGTACAGTCCAAATGCATGCATAACTTATTCGTCCAGTGTTTTACGCGTGCATCTTTTTCTCTTTGTTTTGTCACCGAACAACTTGGAAAGCCAATTGTAGGCTTCCGAGTTTTGTGCTGTAGTCCGCTCGCTTTACTGAAGGACCCGAGTGTGAAACCTATGCATGCCTTTCAATGTGTGTTCCCACCAACAATTATGAAAAAAGTAATAAAACCTATTTTGTGAAACGCACTTTTCTGTCACTATTGCACCTTTCACTCCCAAAAAGATATGTAAAAGCTACTGGAAGTGGAACAGTTCGTGATGCTTCAGTATCGCTAAAGCTTTAGGCGGAGTGAATATCCCATGCTCAAACAAGAATGGCATAATGTATAGTTTCAGGGCATGATGCGAGCACTCATAGACGTGCAAACGTTGCAAAACGTTGTTGTCGATAATGTCTGTCGCTTATACCCATGCTGCGGAGTCTGACATGGCTGGAGTAATAAAATTGCCCCAGCCATGTTAAACTTCATTGCTTCCTCTTGCGACCTGTCGGTATAAAAGTGCTGGCAGTGTTTCGCTGGTCTTTTTACGAAATTGAATGCCGACACTGCAGTAAATACGCAGCAAGTAGTGATAAAAGCGAGGACATCATTTTCTTTTCAGTTTTTTTTTATTAGGGGGTTAAGGTGGTTAGGTCCTTACAGTTGTGCTTTCTGTGCTATGTTTCCAGATTGTTCAATATTCTCGTTCAGTCGGCACTATTTCCATGCCAAATCATCAGTGCTATTTTAGTATTCCCATTAAAGATATAGCCTATCATGTTATGCTTGAACTTTATTTTCTGCAGAACACTGGTAACCACAAGCAAAAAAAAAAAATTAATGGTTACCAGAGGACTCAATTCCATTACTGCTATACTAACCCCTGTATTCAGAAACGCTACTTGGCTTGCCACCACCTTCATTGGAGCGCGTTTGAAACACGTTTGTGGTGCCGTGGCACTGCCTAAATACAGCACATTCGAAACACGTTTTTGCTGCATTGAAGGCGGTAACAAGTCAAGGAGCGTTTCAAAATACGGGGTTAAGGCTAAAAAAAAAAAAAAAAAGCCACTGTAGGGTGGTGGTGCCTCTATGCATGAATGAGCACAAATAATGTATGAACTAAATCCACACAACAAACCACGACATGTTACTTCTTGTGAACTTGGTGTGAATGCTCTTTGACGCACGGGGATTCAACAAGCATGGGAATGATGGTTAGTACACAGATTTATTTAATCTTCGTAACTTCTGGCTCAGTTTGTGTACGCATAGCTTGAAGGTGTCTTGTCACGAAACCAAAATCAGCAAATGTTCAGCAGTTGCGCTTTACCACCTTATCTTTTAGGCTTACCGTTTGAAATCTAGTTGCAAAGTTCAAAAGGGTTCATTCTTTTCTTCAATACAAAACCGAAACGCAGCAGTAAACGAAACTGCTAGTGCGATTCGAGGCCCGCAAGTATGAAGATAAGGCAAATTCGTGTACTGCCCATCATTCCCATGGTCGCTGAACAATCACAGCGCCAGAGTCTTCTCTAGTTAATTTTAGGAAACTCGTATGTTTCATGCCAATACCACTCGTAGTTGGTGCTCTATAGTAGGCCTTTGCCATGCCTCCTCTATTTTTTCAATTCCAGACAGATTTGCCCGATCTAGCCATTCACCATCCTCACCTCTAGCCCTTTCCTGCTCTTTCCCATTGCTTAGCTTTCGCATGTGCTTTGCAGTTGTGGGGAAGAGAACCGATCATGTAATGTCTCACAACGGAAATTCTATGCGAGTAATTTTTGTTCAGTTGGGATCAGATCTTGGGGGCAGCGTCCTGCATTCTTAGTGTTCACAATGTTGATGGTCACGCTGACTCTGTAAGAGATCGGGGGTTTTAAGATCGCGTGCTTGTAGTACGTCATGCTATGTAGTCCGTGATGTCAGTGTGATGCTGCTGGTAGCACTTACTTCAAGAGCGCTGCGAGACGGCAGCTTCTATGCTTCGACCGACAAAGAAGGAGCATGAAGGAACAAATCTGACAGACGTATGATATTGGAGAGGAAAACATGTCTATCGCATCTCCATGGGAAAGCGCTCGGACGCACGTGTGGCACAAGCGCCCGTCCCACCTGTCGTGTGGAGTCACATGACGACCACTCTCTGAACTAGGGCGGACCGACGCCTCCTATTCAGCTTAGATTTGTACTGGAATTGAAAGAAATGAAGGAGTTGTTGGTCTTTATATCTTGTACCTTCATGTACAAGTCATCAATAATTTCAATCCAGTAGGGCCATTTTTATGGACTAGGCGACTCACATGAGATATCTATTATGAAGTACTCCCCCGAGTCTGCACTCGTGCCTCAGATCAAGAAGTATGAAGTAGCGCATTGTTGTCTGTAAAAAGACTTGAGTACAAACTTACGACAATATAATACTGATGGTAAGGCTCAAGATGATTAGATAGATATGTGGGGTTTAACGTCCCAAAACCACCAAATATTGAGTAAATAGGAACATGGCTTGGCAATTGTTATTGGAGCTCACTCAAGAAATACATTTTGCACTAATAGAGCTCACTCACCAATACTTACCTAAACCGGACTCGCCTGTACTCGGTGACCGAGATATCGCTCACTCGGACTCAGACTCGCGGCTCGACCCGAGTCTTAGTGAGTAGACTCACGAGGGAGTTTGCCTACCTATGACGCCAACTAGGTTCTGTTTTTATAGTGTGTGTACAACTTCCTTTCGGTTCTGCATTCTCTTTGTTATGGCAGTTTCCTTGCACCATTCTACCGTTACTTTCCAGCCGAAATACCACATGAAGCGGGGATTGTCAAACAAGAGCAACCACAGTTCCTTCATGAACCAGTCGGATATGCGTGGTGAGTGCTCTCTCAAACCATTATAGTGAACCTGCTCTCCATTTTACATTCCCCAATCACTCTATCATTCAGACAATTCCTCGTGGGCCATCTGGAAAATAAGTGAATTTTCGGTTAACCTTAACATAATTGTGCTTTCATGCATCCTGTTTAAATGCACTTTCTCACAGTTCTCGGTCTGTGTTGTAGGTATTACAAAGTTAAACTTCCTAGTCGCTGTAACAGATATTTGCAGCCAACAGTACACAAGTTCGGAGTATATAAATGCATTCATCTATTGAACGAAACAAAATTCATGTGGATTTCACAGACAGCTACTTAGTTGAGAAAATTTGTTAAGGCGTGGGATTTTTCAATTTCAAAATGTTCTTGGGGAGTTCTTGTGCATTTTTTTTTTCACGTGGCTTCATGCTACAAACAAATAAATTACAATTTTCTCCCTTCCTTTAATCTAAGCTTCATTAATCTTGCGTTACCTTGCATATTCAGTTTACCTCTTCAAAGCATGCATAGATTTTTAAGTCCCCGAGACCTGCACAGCGATTACTGTTTGTAGATGTCTTGTACAAGGGCATCGTTTGTGAAAAGTGAAAATGTGCTTGTATCTTCTTTTTTTGGGGGGAGGGGGGGGGGCTGTGGAACAGCCTTGCTCCTCTCATGATGTTTTTTAATTGCTACACACCTTTCATTGTGACCCACGAATATGAATTATCTATGCAACACCACGGCTGTAAGTGATGCTGTAACGATGCATTATTTTTGTGACCTGAAGTGCTCAAAGAGCCACCTAAATGCAACCTAATGCAGGCTTTCACTTCGATCAAAATGTAGCCATTGCAGCTGGAAGTGAAACATAGAAGTTCGTGCTTCAACACACCTGATGTTAATAATCTGTTGGTAGCTGGAATGTTAGCTTTCCAATATATGGGAAAGCCGTAAGTGTTGCACAAGCTATTGTAGTCTTCATATATTGCTTTACGCTTTCTTTGCAGAGTTTGTAGCTTGCACGTGGGATTATACTGTTTCCTAACAATTTTGCCATTCTATGTGCAGCCAAGTACAGAAAGAAAGTTTTCGCTATACTTCAGAAGAATAAGGTTCTTGCCAGAACTCTTGTGGAGGCCAGGACTAAAATAAGTGACTTGGAGAGTACACGCTGCCGACAGCAAAAAATTGACAACCTTGCATTGCCTCAGGTGAGCGCTGATTTGCTCCGCTGGCTATAGAACTGATCAGTCATCTTATCCAGAGTCTTGCACATAAGATAGCCCGATCACAATGTCTTGACTAGGCCACTTCAGCAGCACAAAGAGGTCTAATTCACTCTTAGCAAAATTTGCCTAGACATATAGTGGACCGACAACATCAGGCACAATTGTCCTTCCACTGAATGTTGTGCGGGTGGCCATCTCATGTTGGCATCACTGCGTATTACAGCTAAAGCTGTTCTGAGATCACAGCGAGGGTCATGTACGACGTAGTTGTCCGCCGCCGGTGTCTGTAACCACTATCGCACGAAGTAAGAAAAAAAACCAAGTGAATAAAGAAACCAAGGACACAATGGGATTCGAACCCAGGTCTCCTGCATGTCCAGCCCAGTGTTCACCGTCTGAGCCCCACCGGTGCATGTAACTCTACTGCAAACTGACCCTAGGCATGCTTTATGTCGGAAAAGGAACCGTGTTAGTATGAATAATAAAGCATTTTGGAACAGCCAAGGAACAACCAGGTGTTAAACTATGCGGATTGCGCGACAGGTTAGTCGTTGAATGCTCTAAGCCATTATTAAAGCTTCAGGCATAATTCTTCGTCATCGTCAGCCAGAGCATTGAAAGATTGCATGAAATTCCTTGTAGCATGTAGCGGGTACCACGGGTACCATGCTTCTCCAAAGGATGGCATAGCGAATGCCTCCCCACCACACAAAAATTATGACTTATGGTGTAGGGAGCACCCTGCAAGTGTGCTTGTAGCAGCTACCTAAAGAGTGCTTAAAAAAAGCTGTGAAAGGCCGCTCTTCCAGCTTTCGATGTGTCTGGGCTGTGTGTTGCGCGCAGGCCTGGCATTTTATTTGGATGATGCTTTCCACACATATTTTTAACTACTTCTGATGTTAACATTTTGAGAATCTTTCTTTCCTTCTCTCCCCCCACCCTATTTTTTTCAGCTGTAGTTGGTGCAAAGTTGTAAGCTACTGTAAAGTGCTGCCGTACAGTAAGTTGTTTGTGCTGAAGTGTGTATTTATCAGCGCAGGTGGGTGGGGGCGTGGCAAGGGAGTCGTGAGCTGCCGAAATGTTACCTCTCTAGCACTCTCTTGAGCATTTTGTCGTCCTCTTCCTGATTTTTCACTTTTTATGGGCCCTTTACATCTTATGCAGACATGAACTGTGGTGGCACCTAATGGACGGTATCTACATTATGTAGTACTATACATCTTTTAAAGGGCCAATGAACAGGCTCCAACTTTTTTTTTTCCACCCCCCATAAAAGCTCGGCAATTTGTAGACTAGACCGCAGCGATCACATTTTCTGAATATTGAAACGCTGCGCCCCGCGCAGGGCCTCTATTTCGAAAAACAATTCCCGTGCATCTTTCCTACGTTTGACCGACCCCTTGTACGCGCAGTGACGCCAACTCGGCGATCGGCGACGTGACGTAGCACGCAGCTCGCCGATTGGTCTAAATCAGGTATGAAAAAACAGTAGTGAAGTCAACGTCAGTTCCTGTTCCCACCCATAGCTACGAAACTGCCCCTTATTTCTTGGCATTGCGGGGAAAGAACCAGCCTCGCAGTTGTCGCGTGCACATGTACACTCCTCGCTCAACTACAGTGCCTGTGCACACATACGAGCCGCCAAGAAGTACAGACTGCTTGAACAAACGCGGCAAAAGAAAATGGCGGCTATGACGTCTCCATAACTTGTATATTGACTGCAGCGGGGGGATATGAGAAAAGTAAGGGGGTCTCCATGGGGTCTCTTCTGATGGTGTTAATATCTTGAGTATTCAAACTTCAGAATTCATGTAAAATGCCTTGCGAGCTATATTCGTTGTTCATATTTTGCAGATGGTATACGCATGTTCACGGGAATCGATCCCGCAGGCGATCTCAGCCGCAAAATTTTTTTGTCAGTACCCCTTCAACATGACAAATTCAATTAAAAATTTTTTGTGTCACTGATGGCCAATATAAAACTTAGGAATTTTGAAATCTGACACCATATTGCCGCTTGAGTGCTGGAGTTGCACGTGCAATTTGGAAACTGTATGTTTATCTTCATTTGATACTGATATAATGGTACCGAAAAAAATTGCTATAGCATTCTCAGACAAGTTTCGGTCGAAGTTGCCTTACCAAATCACCTAAGTGTCCTATTAAGTGCAGAAAATATGCTGTACTTAAGCTGTTCTTTCTTGTCGCTCACCTGGCATCCACATGTCGCAAAAGTGTACTAAAGAGTCTTTCTTAAATACAGATCAAGATGTGGCTCGAGACAAACCTGCAGTTCATGCACACAATGGCCACCAACCACTCGCGAGCAATCAAGCTCTTAGAGGACATACTGACACCCGGGCAGGACATCTCTATCACCGGCATCTCCGACATGGAAATGTCCTATTCTCAGGATCGGTGAGTGTCTTCTCACTTTACTTCTTCACGGGCCGAGCTGTTTAAGCAGTTGTTTGCATGCCTGTTCACCCTCTGCACTGCTCAGAGCCGTTTCACGACTTGACGGTTATTGTGCTGCATTTCAAGAGAAGTCATTACGGGAGCTATTCTCAATGGGTTCGAATCTAATCGATTGTTTTATTTGGGCCGCCGCTGATTGGCTAGAGTCAAGCGAGCACCACGCCCACGTTTCCAGCTCTTTTTCCCCAACGTCATTTTGATGTAGTGAAGCTTTCTCAACACCCGCCAAAAATGATAATAGTGAATGCACTTTAAACGCAGCAAACACAGCCCCGAGAGATCTGCTTTTGGCCGCACAAATCTCAGAGGCCATGCATGAACTTGGATTCTATGATGACCTTAGCCCTCTAAATACGTTTAATGTGGCCGCCCGTCTAACGCACATCTGAATGTCGTTACACTTTCTCTCCATCATTCTCAAGCATCTGGAACCCTTGTATTAAAGCGCATGCTTGTCAAGTTCCCTTAAGTTTTCTGTTGCTGCACGTTTTGTCCACTTTCTTCTTTCTTTAGGGGCTGTGCTGTGCAGGAAGGCTGCGTCACCGTCCTTCAAAAGCGTAATGTCACAACTTGCTGCTTCGAGTAACTAAATGCTCTCCACGAAAACGTACATGTCCATTACGTGGACACGAGAAACAGCCCTGTGTGGGCAAAAAAACAAAAAAGCTGTTTTAAATATGCTCATAGTGGGAAGGGCGAAATAATAAAAGGGAGAATGATTGATCTTTTTTCATTGCTTTCTAGTCATGACACGAATGCATATTCATGAAAGTACTTACAGGTTTGTCACGTGTTAAGGAATACAAGTGTCCAGGTATGCAGTGATGGAAGTGCTGCTCCAAACTGCTCCAATATAAAAAAAAATGCTGCTCCAAACTGAAATATTTGCTAGTAGCTGCTCCAAACCTGCTCTGAAACGATGTTGCAAACTAAAAGAATGAAGTTGAACCATGGAACCATCCCGTGAGCATAAGCGAAACCAAAAGCAAGCTGTGTACACGATCATCCCTATCATCCTCGTATGCTATTCAGTGGTGTAAATCCAGAAAAATCTCAAGGGGTGAAACATATCAGGCCATGGTGTCCAATTCATATTATTAATTTGGTTTGTATTTTTATTTGTATAGGAATTAATTCATGCTTTCAAATAAATTGAAAAACGAGCATGGGATCTACCTCGAGCAATTGCAATGTTCTATTCGGTCTCTTTTTTTCACCTTTTTTCAATTTTCATCGTAAACACACCTAAAGGGTGTTTACCACAGTTATGCAGTGAAAGATAGAAAGCATTCTAAAAAGTTGATGCACTATATTTAACTGTTAACTCAATTATATCACATGCCAAAGCTGAATCTCAAGGGGTACACATGCAACGGGTGCCCTCCACAGCCTCGACGCCAGAAAAGTCCAGACTCTCTTCAACCCTTCCCCCTGCCCATGATTCACGCCAACTATACTGCTTGTATACTAACTGCATACTAGCATACGGCATGTTTAATAATAAATAAAAATATTTATTGGATGCTTAAGTGATGTTTTAAACTTCAGGAGTCGTTAGGAACATGCATCTGCATCGAAAACACCAATAGCAACCCTAACCTATAGCATTTTTTTCTGCTGCAAAGCACCATTTTTTCTGCTCCAAAATTTGCTCCAAAAAGCAAAATGTTGCTTTCGTCACTGGGTATGCCCAGTGCTTGCCAAAACAAAAGAAACCCTGATCCAATGCACTTCTTCTAAATGGATTCAGTGAAGAGCTTCTTTCACCGAATGCTTCATTGACACAACATAACATGTCTCACTTGGCTGCACGCACTCTCTTCCGATAGCAGGGTATCATGTTCACAATGTTGCTAATCATTTCTAATCGTAAGCAGCCTTCTTATGCTAGGCTTTGACCACAGGGGGGAAACCTCACTGTAAAACTGGTCTGCTGTTTCGCAGTAGTCATTTTCATCATGGAAACTACTTTGGTATATTCTAAGTGAAATTTAGTCTCAGGTTAAAAAAAACATTGGGCCAAAAACAAAGCCGTGACGTGTAGTACTTGTCACTACTTACGAGTACTTAGACTCCACATACTGCAGGCATTGTGTACTCCTAGCGGTATATATTTTTTTTATATCTATGCAAAAGCATGAGGCACCTGCTTTGCTTTTTTTTTTTCTACTGCTGTACTGCTTTCCAAAGAGCACTGAAAGTGAATCCTTTTTAAAGTATATCTTACGAAAGGTGCATGCTCCTAGTCTTGTTCCTTGAATCTTGCGAAATCCCGGTGTAAGTTCTCTTGCAGGACTAATGTTATGTGTGCAAGCATTTGTGTATTTGTCTTGCATGCATGTAAACCTTTAGGGAAAAAAAAAAACACTGGCGGACAGTTTCCTGAAAGATATGAAATGGTGTCGGACATGAAATGGTGTAACGACTTGTTACATAGCAGGATGCTGGTAAACAAAAATTGCAGTAGAAATTGCTAGCTAAATAGGAAATATGTAGCTGATTTGAGTTTTCTTTGCACATATCATTTCGTATATAACCTGTACCCTCAACGATTTGCAGAAAATTTCTTTAAAAGTTATCCCCGGTTATTATTGTGAAGCTAGCCTCTTTGTATAGCTGGATAGCACTGTTGTCAAGCCACATTTTGAGGGCAGGAATTTTAAACCATTTAGATGCCACCTATGAAGAACTATCTGTAAATGTGTCAAATCGATGCAATGTTACGTCAAGGCACCCAATAGTCTATTGCTACAACAATAATGTCACAATATGATTATTTATGTGTGTAATGGTAATTAGTCCTAATTAAGTTTGTCTAAATATCTTCTTATTCTGAGTGCATATCTTCTTATCCTGAGCATGAATAGAATGAAATTTTAGGCTAGAGATATAGTACAAGTTAATTTTTAGTTATGTCTATTTTGTGAAAACAAAGAGAAGTACTTTCTACATGGCTTGCAGGAAAAGGCACGTCGAACTGCTCATAGAACGCGATGAAGCCTTCAGCAAAGTGATCACATGCAACAGCACACAGCGGAATGAAGTTAAATGAATGCAAATTTATTTTTCAAAAAGTTCAATTCATTCCAAGGTGATATGTCTCATTTTTTCTCGTCCCGTAGTTGATAAAAATAACAAAAACAAGTGGTGTACAAAATTGTGTTGTGAGCGGATGAGGCAGGCCGAAAGGGAGGAAAAGCTTTTAATCGTAGAAAGAAGACTGCATACAAGCAGCGCGTTCGATGCTCTCCGCTTTTCGCCGGGAACTGCGGGTTGACACCCAAGGTTGCTTGACCTTCTTCTTGAACCCGCTATCTCTGGAGCTGGAGCTCACAGTGTACATAATGTGTGAAAGGGTTAACAGCGGAAGCTGTTCTAGCTCAGCGTATAATGTCTGTCGTCACCCCAAAACCTCTTCTGGTGTTGCCCAGGAATCAGCCCCAGCGTAGCTGGGCAATACTTGGCATAATTCATGAATGCACCTAGCTAATCTTCACCTACCAACAAAGACACCACACGCAGCTGAGTTTGCCATGCCTGAGGTGGTCTGACACAGGCTGCGCATGTGCAGAGCAGAGTTTCAATGCGCCCACTGTTGCCTAGCAACGGATAACTCTGCAGTTTTCCTCGTGTAACCACGGATGTGCAGAACTATTAGAGGAGAGAGAGGACAGTGGGCTTGAGGACGGCATTGGAGCGGCAAGCCATGCACGTATTCCAGATTCGGCCGGGCGTACTACATCGCCACTGGTGTTGCGATTCCCATGCTGCAGCATAACAAGCTGAGCGCCAATTAGGTTCACTGTGCTAAGCTTCTGTGACTTTGTGCAGTGCAAGCTTCCGACATTTTTTTCCTCTCAACTTTAGCTCCAAATTCATCAAACCTTTTGAGTGGTTTATGCGTGGGTACTTAAGGGTTGTACCCCTATGAGCATAGCCTTCTCGGTAAACAAAATTCCTGTTAAAAGGAGTATATTTTTCCAGTTTCTTCTGGTTGAAGTTATTTTACGGTCTAGCACATTTTTCTATGGACAACATATGCCAGAATGGTGGTTGCTGTCGGTCAAATAGGTTTTGAAGCGGCACTTATTTTGCAATTTCTCCAAGACTAACCCTAACGGGCCCGCTATTCCCAGTTACGATGCAACTGATATTGGTAGGTCTACCGTGTTGTGACCCATTAAAGTGATAAATGCCAAGTCTCTCTCTCTCTTTTTTTCCTAATCTATCTTATGTATGCTTGTGCACAAGTTTGTATATATGCATGCATATGTGCACAAGCACAATTTAATATTTTAGCGCCATCTTCTGGCTATAGCTCTCGTGCCAATAAACTCGGGTATACCTCTTGACATTGCTGGGTCTGAAGACTCTTTTCGAGACGGCCAATTTTTATTGTGTATTTGCCTAGACATTCAAAAATACTCACTGCTATTGGCGCTGGTGACTTCTGCACAGGAGGCAATCCCTGCATCCACCAGGCAGGCAGACTTACGATGACTTCAATAATGTCACTGTCATTCCTGAAGAAAATGAAAGTATGATTGACAAGTCGGAACACCCGCTAGACTCTGCCATGATCGAGGAGGATCCAGAGGTCAACCCGTGCTCGAAAGGTAGCGTTCTGCTCAGGTGCACTTTTCTTGCGATGTATCCTGTGCGCAATCTTAAACAAAATGATCTACTACAAACGTGAAGCTTCTCAAACACTGAGGTGCGATCCGCACACCAAGTATTGCTCACAGTCTTTGTGCATTTAAACCGAGCACATCAGAATAACGCACGCGGTTATACCTAACCGGTAAGAAAAATCTTCTGTTGTCCAACTGGCACTTGAAAAAATTTGCATTGTTACTGCATGCTGGTGTGGAACTTCAAGGCAACATCAGGGCCAGCCTTTCATTCTCACAGCTTTTCCGATTTGTACTGCCACTTCTCTTGGCAATAGGGGAGTTTTGGGCATTGAAGAATAGACCTCGTGCAAAATCAGCAGCCGTCTAGCGACCAACCAGCCTGTACAGTTCTGCCACTGTAAAAGCTTAGGCACGTTCTGCACAAGAATATGCAGAGTGGACTATCAATGTGCGGTGGCTGTTAAGAACGACAGTTCCAACATATCTTCTCATGCCAGTGTCCCTTAGATTGAAGGAATTGAGGCGCTTAATTTAACAACCAAGACCTAAAAAACAACAGCTTGTGTACTTAGCACTGTCTCTAAACAATTAAAAAAATGCAATTCTGCAGTCTGTATTCGTCTAAAATATGCCTCCTAACTTTTCAAGTAAGACAAAGTCCTAATAAACGTTAAGATTTCTCGGTGGTTGTTAATTCCTGTATAGGATATTTGCAAGCCTTAACCGTTTGAGTGTCGAAAAATTTCACAGATGGTCATATTGCACTTTTGGAATGTACGAGATGTGTAAGGTCTGGAAAAACTTGTAAAAATAAGTGAGGAACAGTTTTTTGGTGTTGGCAATCGCAGAACATTAAGATGCTCAATAGTATTGCAAAGCATGGTATTTTTTGTAACACGGGTTGATGCGCAGTGCCTTATCGTCATCTGCACACATCTCACATCTCCATTCTCTTCCTGGAGTGACGAGTTGAGCTGACAAACAATCTTCTCTGCACGTCGCTGCCACGAACCTAGCAGGTAAACTCGTTTATATAAGGGAATACTTCATGAGCGTCAGTGATTAACAAGCTAAGAGCAGCACCAATGAAGATGGAAGTCGATTTCCGCCGCCGCTGCATGGCAGTGCTGATAAAATTAAAAATTAAGTTTCACACGCCTTCATTGCGATCGCGCAGTGAAATTGAAAACCACAATAGAGCGTTGTCCATTGGCTTTGCAGCAAGCCGTGCGACATGTGGACGCTTGAGATCGGTTCTGTTTATCTTTGTACAGAGGTAACACAATCATTTGCAAATTTCTCGCAAGTCCTAAGAAGTGGCAGCGCATCCGAGTAAGCACGCATCGTCATTACAGTATAAAATTTCAAGCAGATGGGCGAAAGCATGCACTTATGGCAGAGACACTGCGAGACGCAAAATCACTGTCGTACGTGTATAGCACAAACACTCAAACGGTTAAATTCTCTAATAGGTGCAACTTTCAGAACTGAAATATCTATTTGTGATGAAGGGTTGTATTTTGCAACCTCTTCGTGGTTTTTTTTTTTTTTTTTTATGCATGACTTAGATAAAAGCTCTGCCAACTTGGCGAGTCATCAGACTTGGCAGATTTTTTGTTGAAGTTCAGACTTGTTACGGGTCAAACTAATTCATGACACTTCAAAACCATGTGCAGTCACCGTTCGAAGAAAAACCCGGAGCACGAGATCGACAGCGGGCAGGCGCAGCAGCCTCTTGGCCACCACGCCTGTAGCTCCCGATGTTGACGAGGATTCAGATTCGGCAGTGCCAACATTTAAAGGTGGGCTGCCGGTCTTTGTTGCTGGCTCCTCTCCAGGGGGTAATGGGTACTCCATCAGTTTTCCCCGGTTCCTTTGTTTCCAAGCACCCTCTTCGAGCTATCAAGGGCTACTAGACCTTTCTTTTGTTGTTCTCTATCATGGTGGCTTAAAAAGCCCCTAAACCAGCTTCAATATTTATTTTAACATTCCAAGAATATGGGCACAGAGAGTTTAGAATTCTTTCACAATCAGCAGTGCCGAATTCGTCAGTGAACGAGCTGCAGGTTTCCCACAAATTCAAAAAATCGATGCCTTCTCTTCGTGCCAGGTGTCGAGAAGAGCCTACAAATGAAGCACGGCAAAGAAAAGAGGGAAAAAAACAATGACCTCTTTTGTATCATCTAATAAGTGTAACTGGGTAATTAACAGCACTGTTTGAAAAATTCTCACAACTACGCGTTTATGGTAGACTTTGCACATTTGTGACACCACAACGAAATTTCGACCTTTGCGTGGTTTAAGAGCTCTTTAACAGATTTGCAGCTAAGTATGAAGACTTGTTCAATCGGTGATTGCTGCCAAAGGTCGATGCTGTACCTTATTTTCTTGCATTGCAACCTGTTTTCGTGCCGTTTCCCCAGCATTTATGAACGAACCTGCCCAAATGTAGCCACTTTTTTGCAAGTGTGCTATGTACAAAAATGCTTGGGAGCCATTTGGACTGTACTAGCACAGTTGTGTTGCAATCGTGATTGGCCACTTTTGACTGTTGAATACAAGTTTGTTTGTTTGTTTCTTTTGATTTTCTGTTCACTTCATAACTTTTCTTTTCCTTTTGTCTTCGATTGCCCCCTCGGACAGTGGTCGACGAGCAAGCATCGATCCTTTTGCGAGAGGTCACAGGCCAGGAGAAGACTGTGGTGTGTGCAGAGTCTGTGGTTCTGCCACCTCCAGACAAGGTCCAAGGGCCCAGGTATGTTGCACCTTGCAGTGAAACCTAAGTGCAACCAAACCAATCTAAAACATAAAAAAAATAATCATTTTAGTGTTCTTTTTTATTGGAAAAACATTTGTGAACAAATTTTTGCATGTAAAATGCTGAAATATTTTCTGGTTAATACATATGCTGGTGGTATCTTTCTGAACCGAAGTAATAAATATAGGCCAGTAGGTTGCACATCTTCATATAAAAAAAAAAACAATGTTAAGATAAATGAACAATGTATTCGCGCTACCTATCAAGTTCTGCCTTGTGCATACACTTTATAAACCAGAAAAGACCCTCTGAAAGAACGAATGATGGTGCCTTCTTCAAGGGGCCCTTCAGCAGATTAAGTAATCATTAAATGACAACACTTTCAGACCTTACTGCCTTGCAAATTTCTTGCTGCATAGAGTATATCAGATATAAGTGAAGTTGCAGCCATGCAAACACTGACACAAGAGAAAAAGTGGAGGCGTTTGTGGTGTCTTGACTCAGCTTCATTATAAGTTGTAGAGATTTTTTGCACGCTGAGCACTTTTTTTTCGCTTGTGTCCCATCACGCGAACTGGAAGCTAAACAGAATGGAATTGCCCCGCCACGGTGGTCTAGTGGTTAAGGTACTCGGCTGCTGACCCGCAGGTCGTGGGATCAAATCCCGGCTGTGGCGGCTGCATTTCCGATGGAGGCGGAAATGTTGTAGGCCCGTGTACTCAGATTTGGGTGCACGTTAAAGAACCCCAGGTGGTCAAAATTTCCGGAGCCCTCCACTACGGCGTCTCTCATAATCATATGGTGGTTTTGGGACGTTAAACCCCACAAATCAATCAACAGAATGGAATTGCAAGGAACAGAAACTTACTTCAGTGTTTGTCCTAGGATTGAGGGTCTCAAACCATAAAAAAATTATCCCCCAAATCTGAAAAAATACTAGAATTTCGATTTAAATTTGTTGAAAGAATTTAGTCTTTGTTCTGTATCGACACGATAGGCATTCTGCTGTGTGTATTCATAGCTGAAATGATACGTGTTCCAAGTTGAATGGCACTCATAAACTATAAAATATTTATCTGTTTGTCGTTTACTTTGGCCGAAGACATTGGTTTACAATGTACAATGGTTCCATAGAATGCAAGGTCTGAAGAAAGGGTGATCTAGAAAATTGGGATCTAGATATTTATCTGACTGTATTTAAAGACTAAGCAACTGTTTGTATTCCTTTGAAATGAGCTATGGCCTGAAATTGGAGCAAATTGAAATGCTTAAGTTAAACCTTAATGTTACACAGTAATAACAAGTTTTTTATTTACTATGTACCATATTTATTTGAAAATAGGTCGACCTTTTTTTTTTCTGAAAATGTTGTTCATAACCAGCTATCGACCTATATTGGTGACCAAAGAATCTCGACTTATATTCACGATCAAACCAAAAAACGCCAGGCCTGCACGGTAGGCGCAGCACAGTCACAGGGAAAGCTAGAAGAGCGGCCTCTGAGAGCCTTTTCAAAACATTAATTGGGTAGCTACTGCAAGCACACTTGCTTGGTACCCACTAGGGCATTAATATTAAACTTTTGGGTACTAGGCCAGCATTCGCTATGCTATTTTTCGTCATTCTTTTGAGAAGCGTGGTATCCGCTAAACACTTGCTAGGAATTGTCCATGCAATTGTCCATGCCAATTGTCCATGCAGTGGCTGACGACGGTGAAAAATTATGGCTGAAGTGGGTATGCACCACAGTTAATAGAGAAAAAGAACAAGCTTTTGTACTGGGTTGGAGCATTGGACGGCACACTTGTTACGCTAATCGCATGGTGCAACGACTGCTTGTTCTTTCGCTGTTGTAAAACGCTTTATAAGTCATATTAACGCGATTACTTTCCCGACATCAAGCTTGCCTAAGGCAAGTTTGACAACAAGTCACAAGCATTGGAGTAGCTGAGTGGTAGAATACTGGGTTGGCACACAGCGAACCCGGGTTTAAGCCCAACTGTGCCATTGGTGCTAGGTCATGCCTGCCTAAGGCAAGTTTGACAAGTTACAAGCACCGGCGTAACTCAGTGGTAGAATATTAGGCTGGCACCCAGTGGACCCGGGTTCAAGCCTCTCTGTGTCATTGGTGCAAGGTTTTTTCTTTTTCTAATTTTGCGCAATGTGGTTACGGACACCGTCGGCGGCAACGGTGGACAACATGCAACTGCGCGTGACCCGAGTTGTGATCTCATAACAGCTTTCGCTGTAAAACGCCGAGCTTGTGGCGTTCAACCTTCGCGTCCGCTGTTCAAGCGGTTCCTGCTGCATATGCACGTTATACACCATAAAATCTGAAATAAAGACCCCTTCCTCCTTTACGACTATCAAAGTAATTGAGAAACAAGTTATTCATGCAATAGCCGGGTATCGCCCCCATCAAATTCAGCCGCTCCACGGTATTTGCGATGAAACCCACAATTTCTCTTGGTATTGGCCGTGAAGTCTCTAGTTCTTAGACGGCCTGAGGCCTCGCCGCCTCGCGCTTCGTTCTATCCAAGGACAACGCCTCCTCTAGAAAGATGCCTGCGACTTGAGCCGAAACGCTGGTTCCCGGACCTCTCCTGTACTCTCCTCCTCTACTGCACCAAATATTGTTGGCTGCGAGCGCTCGCTGTGGTGGCCGCTTTAAACCTTGTAGCCTATGAGATTAAAGCAATGTCTACTGCCGTATCGGAGGCAACACGGTCGTGTCTCTGTGATGGCGTTGCTTCCGAATCAAGCAGAAGTAGTAGTGCCGGCTGCGAGCGCTCCTTGCGGAGAAAGCATTGAACTACAAGGAACCTCACGACCCCATGGGAAAGCGTGCGATGTCGCAGGCATCTTTCTAGAGTAGGCGTTGCCAAGGGGGATTAAAGAAATAGTGCTGGAGTGAAAGCTCCCGCAATGCCTTGCCAGCAGAAGTGAAGCCAGCTTTTGCCATGGCCAAGATGGTGGAAACATGCTTTTTTTCTGGTAGTTGCCCACTTAAAGATCAAGTGGCTTTGAGATGTTAATGTAAATGCTACCTTAGATCTTTATTAAAATACAGTTGTTCTCAATGAAATAACACACAGAAACGAGTATGAATTACTGAATTTTCAAGAACTTTGTCTCTAACTTAGAGGCTTACAAAGTAATACTGGTAACACTAAGACGCACTTGGAGCACTAAGTGACCCGAAAAAGTTTCCAGCATTAAACTCGTTTTGTGTGCGAGAGAAACACTCGTTCTTAATTGCTGAACGGTGATACTTTATCATGCCCTTAGTAAATTAGCCGCCGCAGCCGCCCATCTTGCCATAGGCAGGGCTTCACTCCTGAGCAATCATTTCCACTCCAGCAATTTTTTTATTCCTCCTTAGTTCTATCATAGCCTCCTTCTATATACGATCGGCGTGACAGGGTGATGGTTTGCATTTGCTATAGGCGCTTGCGCCGTGCTCTCCACGGGCCTGCAGAAATTAGGCTCCTTCTGGTTACCACCACCACCATTTGGTTGTGCGTAGTTGCGACGATGTCATGTCGGCACAGGTGAATTCAAGTACCAAATGATGCTCTTTACGAAGGATTCAATACAACTGTGTAAATGAGACGATTAGGGGTTGCCAAAAGCAGCGGGTCCGTCTGTTTGCATGCAAGTGTCGGCTTCATGCCTTTCGCGACACAGCAATTGGCATCGGTGGCAGCAAGAACGTTGTAATTTGGGAAGTCGTGAATGCTTGCGATTAATTTGATGACATCATCTTGCACATGTGACAAGGCGATGACCCTGGCAACGATTAGGGAGCTAAGTTGTGTAAATTAAGGTGTGCTGCATTTCAATTTGTCCGTTTCTAAATTTAAAAAAAACATTGGTCAACCTATGTTCGAATGTCTTTTTCTCCTCTTGTAGAACACTATAAGTAGGGGTCGACCTATATTCGAGTAAATACGGTACATGTTGCAAACATCATTAAGGGGGGATGGATAGCAAACAGCGGTGTGCAACTACTACTGTCCACCGCCACGTTACTTTTAAAGCAAACCCCGCAAAATTCTGCAGGTTGCTTGAATAGATATTTGACGAGATGTTTTGTGAATCTGGCAAGAAACTACAAAGTCCGTCTAAAACTGTAAAAAAAAAATTCATTTTATTGTTTGTTATTTTTTAGAGGAACATTTGTGAACAAGATTTAGCAAGTAAAATGCTGAAATCTTTTCTGGTTATTACATATGCTCAGGGTATCTTTCTGAACCAAAATAATAATTATAGGCATAAGCATTCTCTAGTAAAAAAAAAAAATTTAGGTGCTTGCTGACTAGAATTTTAGGGCTTTTTTTCTTGGGGAAAAGCTTTTGTAAAAAATACAATTCTGGTGGCAACATCATTTTTTTTTGCTTCAGTAAGGGTGAATGTCATCAGAAAGAAGTCACAAAAGTGTACACTTGATAGCTGATGTGGTTAGAGAGAAAATGTTCTTTGTCTTAGGAAAACTAGTGTTTGGAGAAAACACCATTTAAAGTTCAAATTGCCGCAGTGCAGTTGCAAGATAAGGTGCGTTTGGGGCCATTTATAAATGCTTTCCACCGCGAATAAATACATGCGACTTTGCGGAAGCACTTGTCAGTAATACTGAAATGTCATGCTATGAAAATTGAAAAATTGCATTTTCATTTAATTTTGCCCTCCATCCCCCCTTAAGTCAAGCTGCCCATAAAGTCGGCACTGAAGATAACCTCTAGAATTTCTAGGATAATCCCGAATGTTATTGTACACACACCATACAATGACAACTGCAGCGAAGAGCAGAGAAGTGTAACTGCTTGTTATATTGAAAATTGAAGTCTGAAGACGCAAAAAAAACTTTCTCGCATAACCATTCAGTAGTGTACTGTGGCTAATAATCATTTCTGAAACTTCGCTGCAATCTCAGTATAGTGAACTCTGATATAACGACATGGTGGTTATAATGAAGTAAATTACCAATAGTCTTGCACTATATAGTGTTAGTAATATACCTTTATAACAAATTTTCGGATATTGCAAACGTTCGTATATGATGCAACTTCGTTATAATGAGAATAATGAGGTTAAGTGTACGTATGACAGCGGATATGACGGAGGAGGTGACAGCTCTTGTGGCTTTTCCTGGCGTTTGTGCTTGTAAAAAAAATGACATTACTCCATTTAATAATGTACCTGCGGTTGTGTGGAGTCAATAGTCGTGAGCTAGTTGATCACAGTGCACCGCCTACTATGCCCGCAACTTACACGAGGACGTTTGCTGTACCATACGTACCCAAACATATGCCATTCGTTGCAGGGTCCGAAGAAAGGGATCTACTTATACCTTTTTGCTCTTTACCGTGCACGTGTGCAGTGTACATCTTGTCTGGCTAACAGTGACAACAAGTGGGCTCAACTCACTAGATCTGCATGCACTTAGTATTGGTCCTGTACTGATGCAGATGCCTCACCATACACACTCTAGCACCAGTACATTCACAGCACGGTAGTGTCGTGTTTCATTACTCTCGCTGGTGATTTTTGCTGCCTGTTGACAATGTTCTCAAGCAACGTGTTGCCTGCAAACTGCAGATTCTCTTGATCAGGGTTTATCAATCTTTCATTTGTCAAACATCAGCTGCGTGCATGTGTGCAATTTGTAAAGCTGTTAAAATCATAACTGCTGCACAAAGTTATTCCACTAAATTATCCCCTTCACTGGTGGTGGCTATGTTTGTTTGTGTAACTTGTTTGTGCTATTTGTGTCAACTTGTTGAAAAAAAAAAGTGCATGATGCTGTCAGATCTTTATATAAAGAACCCAGGTATAATGAAATATTGGTTATAACAAAGTAGGCGGACAGTAGACTTACAATAAATATATAATGTTAACAGTATACTTTTACACTCAAACCTTATTAAAACAAAGTTGCATTCTACACAAAAATAAGTTTGTTATATCTGAAAATTTGTGCTAAAGTTATATTCCTAACGCTGTATTTATTGCCAGACTATTCTTCATTCACTTTGTTATAACCGACATTTTGTTATATGTGGGTTCACTATATCTAGTACTGAGTGTATAACGAATTTCAGAATATAACAAACCTATTTTTTTGGTAAGATGCAACTTTGTTACAAGGAGCTTCGAGTGTACTTGGGTCACTAGAGGAATATAACGCTCCGAAGAGTCAATACGCCTTGACTTAATCCCAGTGTGCTGCATATAACTGTTGCTGATAACTTTGGTGAAGGCACTACGACGTTCAACAAGTAGTATGTCATGCAGTGTTCCAGAACCGACATCAAAAGTATTAATTTTCTTTCCTTGAAAATGGCATCTAACCAGTTACTAAATATGCACCCAATCAGAGTCTATGGCTTCATTGTTTTTATGCCAAACGAAACATGTCTGTCTGTAAGATAATTACATGTTTATCTACAAGTAATTGCTGAAACTCTCAGAAAAACACCACAATGCTTTATTTTCTTTTTTAGAATGTAATACTGAACATCTTAACATTATTTTATGTAAATTGGGTGCATCCAAAGACAGTGCATCATAATTCGCACGTGAAAGGTTTATGAAAAATACAAGCTTTTCAAAGGGTCAATATTCAGATATTAAAACACTTTGGTTTCTCGAAATAGCCTTCATCATACATAGGTCCAGCTGTGTACAGTTGAACCATTTTATAAGAGACACTGATATGAGGGACATACGGGTATAAAAGACGCCAGTATGCCTACAGTAAAATACCGTAAAAACCCGCGTATAGCCCGGGGTTTTTTTCTAAAATTTAGGGTGCGAAATTTCAGCCCCGTACTATACGAGGATCCCAAAAAAGTTTCGACCCGAATTCAGTTTTGGTTTCGGCATTGGTTGGTGCTATCATCATTATCAGGTGTCTGCGCACTTCTACGTTAGGTGGCGTGGTAGCGTGAGCGGCGTTAGTCCTAGAGACCTACAAGTACAAGCGTGCATCAGGCGAGCAACAGTGGCCATTGCAATCACTTGGCGCACATCATGACGGCCACGATTTTACTTCCGTGATTTTAAGCCATGTCGGGACCGCGCAGGCAGTACTCGGCTGCCTTTAAGAGGAAAGTTATTTCTGCTGCCGAAACCATCGGCAACTGTGCCGCGGAGTGGCAGTTCGGCGTGAATGAGCGGAGCATTCGCAGTTGGCGGAAGCAGAAGGAAGCCCTTTTTTCATGCTGCGGCAAGAGAAAAAGTTTCTGGGGACCGAAAAATGGAGCATTTCCAGACGTCGAACGAGAACTGACGGACTTTGTTCGGGAGCAACGAGCTGCACAACTCGCTGTGCACATCGAGCTGCTGCAGGCAAATAAATGCATTTTTTTTCTATTTTCCTCGAACAATATTTGCGTGAAAATGTTTTTTCTCGCGTGTGCTATCCCCGAGTTACACCTCGAACTATACGCGGGTCCGAACTATACGCGGGTTTTTACGGTACGGGTTGATAAGAAAATGCATACAAGGTCCTCTGCTTATAAAAGACATCTCATAAGAAAGATGGGAACTGCTGCCCAGAGCATGCCTCTTATAAAGGGGTTTAACTTTATTAGCATCTGTATGACCATAAGAAAAAGCACAAAAAAGCAAAGTTGGGCATATTGTTATATAATCAAAGTGATTAGTTCAGCTCAGATGCAAGATAGCATGAAATCAGAAGTGGTTTGTTATAGTTTCTTTTTCTTTTCCGAAATGTTGCATCATGGTGGAGACACGTCTTTTCTGTTTACTGCACAGCGTGACTGAGTACTCTGCAGCATTCAGCTACAGGCCAAAGATACCACGCACTCCAGACGTCACTAGCAAGGACACAAACGGCTTCTTTGAAGATTTCTACAGCAGCCCCTTGCAAACACGTCAGCGGACAAGGTTGTCTGATGTTCCTCTGCAGCCTTGGCCTAGAAAGGCGGGTCAGTATCTTTAGATGCGGAGCATCTTATGGTCAAGTTCACTCCGATGTGCGTGCGGTGTGACCACACTTACGGCGTATGTGCATCCCATCCCCCTCTCCTACGCTCCCGCTCTCTCGCTTCACAATTCTGATGCAGGCAGCATTTGCTATTGAGTTTCTTGATAATAAAAACTAACTGCTCATGCTGCACAACCGTTCACTGGCCAACCCATATATCTATATATATATATGAACAGAGCTTCTTCTAGCTACTGTAATAAATATTATAAACTTCGAGAGTAGTTCAACATAGGAAACAAAACAATTATTTATTTATTTAAATTTATTTAATCCTAACAGTTCCGGCTGGTGGTCCAGTGTTCTTCGGAAGAAGAAGGCTGGACCACCATATATATATATATATATATGGGAATGAATATAGGGGAATATATATAAGGGAAAAAAGTACATAGCTGCTGCCTCTATACTTTCCTTGGCAACACTGTCTGTTAGATCTCATTAATATTGTGTCAAAACACGGAAAAACGTGCCCTTAAGTATACTCTTCTTTCCCTTATTCATTAACGAGGGTCTCATATTGACAGACTTGGTGCCTTAGAATGTATACGAGGGACTATTGGTCAGCTGCCAACTCGTAATAAGCTCACATGCTACGTGACTCCACACAGGCTCATAAAGAGTGTGCCACACTCGCCGCCTAGGCTACAGATGACCCTGACTGACACTCCCACATTTAAAATCACATATATACCCAATAAAGTGGCTGGGAGAATAGCCACTGTGGCAGCTCAGTGGTAGAGCATTGAACGCATTATTCGAAGGTCGCAGGTTTGGTTCCTGCCCACAACAAGTTATCTTTTCACCCACTTTTCTTTCTTCACATTTACATTACAATTTGGTCTAATAACTTCCTCTATACTTTCCTTGCCATTATTGTCTGTTAGATCTCATTAATATTGTGTCAAAACACAAAAAAAACTAGCCCTTAAAGGGGCCCTGCGACACTTTTTAAGCATGGCAACAAAACGCTGCAGATCGGTAGTATAGGCTACCGACAACATGCGAGCCAAATATTATAGCGCAGCACGTGGCGTGGAATTCGCAATAAATTATCAAAGTCAGCTAAAAATCGCTTTCTTTTCTCTCGATAAATCACTGAATAAGCCCAAGAATCACTCTTAGTAAGCCCATCTATTAGTCGCGCTCGGTCATCACAGAGAGTACTGCGGGAGGCCGCTACTTGTCCACGCGTGCGCCCGTGATCGCACTGAAAAACGCGTGCATTCGGAGAAAAAAAAAGAAAGAAGTGCTCAAGGTTAGGAGGCGTGCGTGACGTTTTTGTTTACCTCTCCCATATCTCCTTGCTTAGCTTCCAGCGCTTTCGTCTGGACAAGAGAAGAGAGAATGCAATTGCTGCGTGTGACAAATCTTTGTAACTCCACTCGTACTGGACAGATTGTTAAAATTTTTGCGGCGTTGATTTTTTGAGGCAATACGCTTTTGCTTACCATCAATTTCATGGTTACTCAAAAAAGTGTTTCAGGGCCCTTTTAAGTATCTTTTCATAGAGCTTCATACAAGAATACTTAGAGAGAAATCTGGCGTTAGTGTCTGTGCGGGCTCCTTCAGCGGCACGTGTACCCCCATGCGAATGATGAGAAGTACAGGCTTCGGATCTGCTACAGGATGGATTGGGTTCTTGAGATTGCGACGCTTCTTTGCCGAGTATAAAACAAAGTGATATGAAGGTATACTTAAATTAAACTTGCTTCATTCTTTTGTAAGTAAATTTTATCACAAAATGTTTTTGTAACCATGAGGTAAAAGTGAAACTTGAAGAAATTTAATCACCATGGTGTGCATTGTTCTGCCATTGCATTCCAGATTTGGCATTGAGGTATAATGAAATATTTTTACAGCACTTGGCAACAAACATGAAGCTTTTTCACTCAATAGTACGCAGTATCAATTTCTGAAGATAACGGTGCAATATCTATAAAGAAATGCTTAACGTTTCTTCTGCTGTAATGCCAGCTGCGTCTGTCCAAGTGATGTGCCCCAAACGCACGTCTCAATTTGTTCTAAAGTCGAGTTGGAGAAGCATACCGGTGTGTCTGCTTAGCTTCGCCGTCGTTTCGCAGTCGATTCTAACGAGTTTAGGCAAGACGCGCCTGTGAAAAACATGAGCTCGACGCAATATTCTGCACTGGCATGAGGCGCTACATCTGCGCAGCGGTGAGTGCACGACGCTTTGTTTAAGCTGTCAAATCGACTCCTAAAGCTCCAAAATCACAGAAAATCAAGAAACCTAGTGATCTTCAGCCCCTTCTAATAACAAATGCTCTGCTTCAGCGCTTCTCAGTGCACCCCACTACCCGAACTGCGCGAAAAACGAAACTGAAACCGTGGAAAAGGATTTGCAGACAGTTCGCTAGCTAACCCTATAATTCCCATGGGGGTACACGATTGCAGCGCCAGATTCCTCTCTACGTACTGTTGTATGAAACTCTATGCTTCTTGTCCTTATATATATACATATATATATATATATATATATATATATATAGTGAGAGAGAGAGAGAGTGATCTAATATATATATATATATATATATACATACATACATACATACATACATACATACATACATACATGTATAAAGAAGTGTGTACTTAAGGGCTCGTTTTTCCGCGTTTTTGACGCAATGTTTATGAGGTCTAACAGACAACAATGCCAAGGAAAGTAAAGGGAAGTTATTAGACTGAATTGTAATGTAAATGTGAAGAAAGAAAAGTGAGTGAAAAGATAACTTGCCGTGGACAGGAACCGAACCTGCGTTATTAGAAGATCGCAAGTTCGGTTCCTGCCCAGGGCAAGTTATCTTTCCACCCACTTTTCTTTCTTCACATTTACGGTACATTACAATTCAGTCTAATAACTTCCCCTATACTTTCCTTGGCATGGTTGTCTGTGTGATCTCATATAATATATATATATATATATATATATATATATATATATATTTTTTTCTTTCTTTGTAACCAATGTGTCTCATTGCATTTAGCATATAGTGTCATCACTGTCGTTGAGCGTTAACGTTCACTTTGCCTGGTGGGTACTTTAGGAATCATTTGGTAGTTTCTGAGAGTTCTTCCGCAATGTTCCATAGCCATTGCGATGGCACAGTGGTTCCAGTGCACAGCTGCAGACTCGAAAGATACTGGTTAAGTTAAGCTTAAACTTGAGAAAGAGCTATGTTCAGGTAAACCTAGTTCTAATTCTTGAGGCTATCGTACCTTGGCCCTTTCAGATGCCACATATAAGGAACTGCTCGTAAATTTGTCAAATCGACGCAAAGTTATTTCTAGACGCTCAGTAGCCTATTGCAACAAAAGTATTGTCATAATATATTCATTTATGTGCGTTTTAGCAACTAAGCTTAATTAAGCTGTAATTAAATATTTATTTAGTAATAAATGCTCTCTTTTGGTATAGATAGAATGAAGTATCAGGTTGGAAATATGGTGCAGGTCCATTTTTGCTTTTGCCTATTTTGAGCAAGAAAAAGTTACTTTTCACACAGCTCACGGGAAGCGGCACGTCGGATGGCTTGGCTTGTCGGACGTAATGCTGCCTTCAGAAAAGAGATCATGTCTGACAGTACACTAAAGAATGAAGTCAAGATTCACACGCGAAGCTTGATATAAGTCGCTCTTCTTTAGCTCCTAGTCGATACAAATAGCAAGAACAGGTGGTCTACACAGTTGTGTACATAGTATCTCGAAGGGCTAATTAAACAATAAGAGTGCTTATTTTTCTTTAAAATACACACTCTGCATTCAATTCAAGGTTATTGAACCTAATTGCCATATCTTTAAAAAATTTTGCTATTTGCTTATCCCTGCAAATGTTAACTTTACAGTAAAAATAATTTCTTCTTACGGTCACAAACATGGCTGTAGCTCAACATTCGGTGTTTGCTTTTGTCTGTGCGTTCTCTCTATTTCTCCTCGTTTCTAGAAACTGTGCGCCAGAATTCACGGAACGTCAGGCGCAGCGGCCCGGCGGATTTCAGCCCTTCAGAGTGCCCCTCAGCGTTGTCATCAAGAGCCATGTTGGAGCGTGCCTTCGAGTCTCCCACTTCCGCACTGCTGCAACAAGGTGGGAACTTGGCTTCTCTTGAAACTGCTTCACCCATCGATTTGGACGCACCCATCATGGAAGAGACATTGCGGAGACAGTCGGCCAGAAAGTCCTGCATGTCGCGACCCAGTGTGAGTAGCCGTAAATTTGCACCAGGGAAGCACAGCTCTGTCTCGTTTACGCCAAGCGCTTTGTTGTAATGTGGCACATTGAATCAAGCCTAGGTGTCTGAAGTGTTTTTCACAAAAAAAAAGTAATATCTCGATGATGCGAATTTGAAGGTTGCTTCGGATAGACTACAAATAAAAAATATGCTGTGATTCGGCGGTATAAGAACAGTTTCCCCAGCAACAGCGGATGGTACGAACGTGCAATTGATCGCTACATGCGAGCGGCGCAACGCGGCTTGCCTGTGGGAGAAAGGCCCGTTCACACTTGGTCTTGGAAGAAGGGAATGCGGCAAAACTCACCTGAATTTCTCTTGCTTCGTCGCCGGAAAAGTGGCTGGAAAACTATGCCGCGAGGCCGATGCAAAAAATCGGTCCGAGACCGATTTCGCCGCCACGCGACAGCTGATCGCCTCTACGGCTTTGGCTACACCGGCTACGCGAGCTCTCAAACCATGTGAGGTAAACAACCAGCCGTACATTCAAGACGGCGGCCAAAACGTCGGCGGGTGCAGTGGCTCGTGTCGGCGCTATCGCGAACTGGCCGTGTAGCACGACAAAGCTCACTGCCTTGAAAAAAAAAAAACATGTTCATCATCATGGTTTGGATTGCTATTTCTGCAAACACCGGAAGTAGGAGAAGGTGCAGCAGCAGCGAGTCGGCCTGCACTAACGTGCCTTTGCACTGCCGGCTGAATCCGTCGCTGCCGCTGCGTCTGCTCGAGTCATTTCTTCTGACGTACCTTACAAAACAATGTTTGTAAAGGTGTAACCTTAAATTTCTTCTCAGTTGAATAAGTTGAACTCGGTCAGGATTTTAATGCTCAAAAGTTAAGTCTCAAGTGGCGACGGAGGCATGTATACAAGGGGCAGAATGAATGTGAACATTTTCGGCAGGCACGGACGGGCTTTTGCGACCGCTCTGGCATTTTCACTTGTATTCTCCTATGTGAATTCTCCAGGAATAATTTTTTTCGTGTCGGCGCGTTTTTCCAGCTGCTTAAGCGGTGAAGCGGGTGAATTTTCAATAAGTTTTGCCGCTTTCGCTCTTTTTGATGCCTAGTGTGAGTGCGCCTTATAGCGCCAGCAGGATGAGTGAGGAAGATGTGGCACTTTATTGAGCGGCGGTAAAAGCACGAAGGTTCAAAAGAACATCGTGGGCTTTCATAGCAAAAGCAGTTGACGCCATTCAAGTTTTTGTTCATCTTCATAATCAGCTTCAAGGGAGGACATGGGTCTATGGGATATCTCATCTCTCTTTTAACCGAATATGATGAGAGTTGGCATGCTTACTATGTTTGTTCTCCTGATTCTAAAAATGTAGTTATTTTTTATTTCGGTAGCAATTATATGGACACTCTCGGCTGGATTTTGCCATCGGCGTCGATGTCATGCACCGTATATGTAAACGTATCTATAGATATGAAAATGCAAGAAAGAAACAAAAAGACTCCAGTGCGCGAAAACGAGCGTGGGACCTCCGCGTAGTGGATGCAAGGCGTTAACCACTGAGCCACCAAAGGGTACCTACTTCAATATTCAAACGACAAGCTATTTATATCTACCACTTACCGCTGTTAGCAGACATCTCGAAGGGGAACTATCCTATTTTCAGCATTATCAGCAAGATGGCGCAGTGAGCGCGCGGCGGCTTTCATCTCTCACACGTACTTTGGCCCACCTAGAGAATAAGGGGGTGTACACTCTATCGCACTCTCTTATCTTGCAATGAGGAGAACAGTACGTCTTGGCTAGCCTTTGCGTTTCATGGGAACAATTCTGTTGTAGTTACCGGGCACACAAAGGTCACTGCAATCGTCGCACAGCCTCCGTTTGCGAAAAGGGCACGCTTTTCAGACACAGCAAAGTAATAACTGATACGCTTACTTGCGTTCATCTGTACCTGTGAGTACGTTTCGTGCATCATTTGTGCGTGAGAAACGCGGGGCATGTCAGATCTGCTTGCCATTTTGCGCGTGACCTTCCAACTTGTTGCTATCGCATTCATTGCTTCGTCTTTGCAGCAAAGCTATGACTTTTTCTGTAGCTTCATTAGTTTTATTGAATAATCAAGATAACGATCTTTATTGTTCTTACCACAATATAAAAATAACCACCAGTGAAAAGTTTCAAAATGAATTAAGAATTCATAGTACAAAGCATAAAACATACAACATAGGAAGTACTTTTTTGATTGGGTCATTATTTCTTACATTACAGTACACTGACCCCCGAATGCAGAGATGTTACTTGACTCGTACTTGACTCGTTCTTGACTCAAGACAGTCTTGCCGGTCACCATAAATCGTTCTCGAACTTGCGGATGACTTGAAGGTGACTTGTCTCGGCCGAAGTCAGGACCGAAGTCAGCTGCGGGGCTAGCTTGAAAGCGACTTCATGCGTTATTCCAACATGGCCACCTCTCGAATGGACATCGCGCGGAGGGTGGCTGCTTTTGAGTTGGCTTGCCTTGCCATAAGCGTAGCATTTTCTTAGGCGCCCTGCCTGCCGAAGATTCTTAGACCCGCTTTACGTTACCGAGGAAATCCGATGGAGTTATACGACGAGGAACAATTTCATGCTCGGTACAGATTCACGAAGGACGCCATGCGGCAGCTGCTGGGTATGTTGCCGCTCCATGAAAGTGGGGACAACCGAGGACAGCCTGTGCCCCCAGTGTTACAGCTACTGATGGCTCTCGGGTTTTACGGCGCTGGCACATTCCAAACAGTCACCGGAAATCTCGTCCACATTCCGTGGTCGACAGTTTGCCATGCAGTAGGAAAAGTTACGCTACTCATCGCAAAGCACCTGTACGCAATGCTGGTGCGCTTTCCGTAGCCGGCAGCACTTTCTATAGTTATGCGGGACTTTTATGAAGTGGCTGAGTTCCCTGGTGTTACAGGCTGTGTGGACTACACACACGTGCGTATTAATAGCTTTGGTGGGGACGACGCCAAAGTGTTCCGTAAGCGCAAAGGCCATTTCCGTTTTTCTTAAACACGACGATAACTTCCGCCTCTTTCGGTACAAAATTGACTCGGCGCTGTGTCTGTGTGCCTCGTCTATGCTTTCGTCCCGTCTAGGGCGCTGTTTCTCGCTCAGAAAGGCATCGCTTGTAGCACGACGCTACGGAAAATTCCGCACACATAAAAAAGAGGTGCCCCTATCATGGGTTTTTTTATCCACTTCACCATCATGCAGCAAGACACTGCTGCACCCCGCGAGACAGAATTCTGCTGAGGGCAATGTCCTGACCCGCGCTTTTTCTCTTGTTTACCAAGCTCAACAGAAGGATACGAATCACATTTGTTTCCAGAACTTTTTTTTTTTTTTCATGTATATCTGCGACCTAGCCCACTACAGGCATGCACACAGGCGAACAGAAAGGCAAATACCATGAAAATCGTGTCACCTCGTGAGCCAGGTGGCAGGAATATGCTTGTGGCCCTTCGTTTTTATAGTTATTTTAAAGCGTATGGTATTTTTTGATGTTATGCATGCCTTACGCGAACAACTTCATTATTACCCTCGTTAGCAGGCGAGAAGCGTGTTTCTGCTTTGAAGCTCGTTCTTGACTTGACCAAGCAAGACAGCCTGAGCATCTATGAAACGCGAAGGCTGACTTGGGCGTTTTGAAGTCCGCTGCTTGCTTCACGCCGACTTGCTCAAGTCAAGTTGAAGTCGCGAGCCAAGTAACATCTCTGCATTCGGGGGTAAACATTATAGCTCTGAATGTGGCCATGGTGTGGTCACACAAAAAACTAATTTTAAAAATTTCCTTCAAGAGAAATGAAAATCTGGTTCCTATGTCATGTGCTCCAAACATATAGCTCCATGCTGCAAAAAGAATTATTCTGCTATCTGTAATAGCTTCCGATATACCTATTGCAGGAATCGTCATGCAGTGTGTACAATTGTGATTTTGAAAAAAATCGAGAAAAGAAGGAATTCTAACATTTTTAACTGTAAAAATGTATGTACTTAGAATTACATAGTCATTAACATATATATGGATACTAGAAAGCTTAAGGAGTGCAATGCTCCAAGTTGATCGAAAATTGAACAAGTACTTCTTGAAGTACAGCAACATGAAGATCATTGCATGTAACCAAGAACAAAAAATTTTGTATTAAAATAAAAAAATTGAAGCCCCACATTAAAAACCGACTCTCGGCATTGCTTTTATGCACATTTAGCTACATTATGCAAGTGGACCTAGGACAGCTACAGCTTTAACTGTGCTAGGTCCACTTTAACAGAACAACCAAACAAGGAAAGGGGTTAAAATCTGTGTTTCGAGAATAATACTGTTACAACTTTATTTTGCCGTTTCGAGACAAAAAAATCATGGCACACATACTTTTTGTTAGTTAATATGCACCGGGCTTGTGATCAGACTGATTGTTCGCATGAGCGTGTTTTTTCTTTTAGTCCTGCTGCAAGTTGTCACTGTGTGCTTGTCTGCTGACAAGACCGCTTATCTGTTCGATGACAGTACTGACGCCATTGTGCGACGAATGTGCACGCGCCATCCGCGATCCGCCGAATGACACGGCGATGTTTTCTGGCTTGTCTACAATGCGTTACACGTAAATGTCGCGAACAGAATTTGTGCACTCGCTCATAATTTCGAGGCTACATGAGTGCCGATTGTGTTAGTTTTCTTTTCATGTAACACTGCCTTATTTTCGAGTGGAGACCGCGATATCATTGCGAACTCGTCATTAAAAGCAGTCTACTTGTTGCCAGCGGCATCGGCGCGTTTCGCTTCTCTCGTAGTTTCGCTTCTGCTTTTTACTTGCCGTCCTCTAACTAATGAGGCTGCAAAACATGGCCGCTTTCAGTGACGTCGGCAGCCGTTGACCGCCGCTAGTTTGTTATCCTCGTTTTCCTGATCCATAGCGGGGCTCTTTCTGAAGTTCACGGTGAGGCAACGATCGCCACACCCACTTCACAAATTAGTGTGGTGCGGAACTTCTTTACTGCAGCAGGCAGTCGACAGCGCCATGATAAAGTGGTGCATGTTCGTGTGCGTCACAATGGTGAAGCAGACGGCGGAAACGCCACTTGGCCAATCGAATGCCTAGGTTTTGTCACGTGCCCCAAACAGCCAGTAGAATCTTGTCCTAGTTCTTTTCAATGACGTGTTTTTTCTGAAAAATCAATGAGAAACGCGAACCAGCGGTGGCGGGAGATTGAAGACAAAGAACGATCTTTCCAAACGTGACTAAAAATGACCACGATAGCTCATGTGTAACGGCAACAGTTCGGCGCCGAAAAAGCGCGATTTTAGCGTCAATTTGCCCTCACATTCATCTCACAGGGATGTTATAAATTGATTTTGTGCCCGAAATAATGACGTGAGAAGCTAGAAACTTCTCAGATAAGTGCATAAATAGGTACAGATTCCGAAGATGTCCGCTTCAAAAAGTCGATTTTTTTCGCGATTTTCGGCCTTCTAGACCCGTGTCCACCCTTAACTTGTTTTTGGTTCATACGAATTCGAGTTGATACGAATACGTTGTGTGCTCCGTTTGAATTCATATCATCCAGATTCTACTGTAATGACTATACCAGTACCGCATGAGCCATACTGGAGCACCATGGGAATGTCCTTTCTGTTCGAGAAATACTGCTTAGCAGAGTTTTTTGGAGGCCAGCTCACTTCCCAAGCGCTTCTTGTGCTTCCTTGCTCAGAGCCGCCCCAGAAGTCCTACACATCGTGAAGGCAGCAAGAACAGTTTTGAAACAGTATTTAGTTCTAGCGTCGTTTTGACCATGCCAACTTGGCGATGCTAACAGTACCAGTTTCAGGACAATTTGCGCAACACATACACCGCCCTGCCCTGAACACTGGAGTACACCCTAGTAGCGTTTTAGAGCACACAGGCGAACATCTGATTTTCTTTCCCAGTGTATGCTACTCTTTTTTTCTCTGGCATAGCTTAATACTTTGCTCATCTTGTGATGCAGGACGCCAAGAAGTCTTCTCGCGTCACTTTTGTGGTGAATAAGACAAGAGAAACTATGGCTGCGGCACGTGAAGCCCCGTGGGACTTGACAACTGTCACGGCGGAGTGCGAGGTACGTGACTCATCACAGACTCTCGTTAAATGTAACGCAAATGAACCAAGAAGATGTGTTCCACCTAAGAGGAGTTTCGTTTAGATGAGTGGCAGGGTAGAGAATACCAGTGCGAGACAAATAATGTTGGGGGCAGGTGTTTTATTTAAGAATCAGTTCCATTTAATTTAAGAGTTCCATTTACTTAGTCTACAGCATTGGGAGTGATTATTCCCTTCATACAAAATCTTGTTTTACCTGCACTAGTGCACACGTTATCTACATGATTGAATGATCATGTTGTCATGAATGGTACATTGGCGCAACAGGACAGCCTGCTTATGTTAGATTAAACGGTCGTCACGGGGACACGGCAATGAAATCACCCAAAGCAGTGGCACAGCATTTTAATGTAGCAGGACACAATTTTGACGATCTCAAACTCTACATATTTCAGTCAAACTTCCAGTCTGCAAGAGACAGAAAGTACTATACGGAGGGGTAGCCTATTCGCAATTTCAAAACACTGCAGCCAGTAGGTATAAGCGTTTCTAAAAAGGCTCTCGAATCCATTTTGTACGGTACATACACAAAAAAAAACAATGCGAGTTAAGCCCTCCGTCTAGAAATTTCAAACCTATCATTGTTAATTTCTGACAACTGGGACTCGGCGGCACATGTACATTTTCACATCCCCACCGCTTCCTTATGTCGCAGTCGCCCAACAATTCGTGGTTTCCAGTGAAAGCTAGCAGTAGATGGTTTAGTTTGCTTCTACATATCGGAAAAGTGGGCCGTAAAATAATATTTTGGTGCAATACAAGTGCTGGACGTCACTGGCTGTAAAACCCCGCCCACCGCCTGCCATTTTTCCATGGCATCACGTGACATTGCGTGCAGCAAGGAGTGGAGCTGTTATCTTGTGCCAAGTTTCAGCATCTTTAAATCGTTCTATATCGTTGACAAGCTGAAGGAGGCTAGAACATTTGTCACATGCAGCTGACCACGTAACAATATCATTCACCGGGATGCAGGCTCTCGCACAGCTAGCCGCTAGCTATGTCGCGAGTGTGCCAGTGCTGCCAGGCTCTCGGGCCACTCACTGTTTATAAAGAGATTTGGTTATACATTAAGTGCTCAATCAGTCCCACTAAATTTTCACCAGCTCATTTGTGAACGCACATAGATCAACCGACACGATTCGGATTATGATAAAAAAGTAGATGTCCTGGCCACATTAAGGGGACCTGCACCATCCATCAGGCTCGCTGAAGAAACACATCCTGCGAAAAGCAGACGCTGCTATGAAGGGCTGCTCGGCCAAACTTTGCAGTAGAGCACAGTAAAGAGAGTTGGGAAAGAGAGTGTGAACTTGCCATTTTTTTCAGGTGCTCTCTTTCCATGCAGAGGCCTATGGGCAGACTCATCGAAGCTGTAGGTGCCTGCTGTTTGACGTCAAATAGCAGATAGAATGCTATCGATTAAAGCTAACATAAACCAAAGTGACCTTTGGATCAAATGCGCTTCTTGTCATGGGGTGCTGGTGCTGCGCTCCATAGTGTAACATTACACAGTAGGCACACTAGTGCACTCTGGGATCAAAACGGGAAAGGATGACTGAGTTTCATCACACATGCCCAAGATTGTGATGCATACTGATGTAATTTCTTTCTCCTGCACCATCCCTTTCAGTGCGCTTGCTGTTGTACTGTAAGGGACCCTGAAACAGATTCTTGAGGTTTTGTCAGCGTTTAGGCTACAGCATCGTCAAATCATTTGCGCCACAAGTTTAGCGACGCACCGTGTACGGAGTGGTTCATATCTGCTCCAACAGGTGCCACCACACTACCAGCCAATCTTATTTTATTCTCCTGTGCTGAGACAACCTGTAAAGCCATGTGAAGAAACAAAAAGAAATCGAGAATGATCACCGACTAGGGTCAACTCTGCCAATGTGTTTGTCTTCGAAGTTACAGCCGCAGACACATAGATCGTAGCGTTGATCGGGCAGCGAGAGTGCGATGCTCATTGCAGCGACGAGTTGAGGCAATTCTGCTCGTTAGATGCCTCGAAAACATTACACGATGTCACAGCTTTACAAATCACGGATCGGCAGATATGTGGCGCACAGCACAGCCAGGGCAATTCATTGTGTCCAAGAAAACAAACATCGAGGTAAACTGTCGCTCCGCTCAGCAGACAACGCTCACTGCTCACAGGAGGTTCCTTGACATAAACTGAGACATCCAATAATATTGGCTCCCAGGTGCTACGCGTACTGGAAAATTTCTACCTGTAAAAGGCGTGAGAAGTTGAAAACTCATTGTTGACCATTGTTGACCCCCTTACTTCCTTCACGTAACCACACTGCAACAAGTCATGATGACCTCATGGCCACTATTTTTATGTTGCTGTATTTGCACCAGCAGACTATTTATTTACTTATATATCTATTTATCATAGTACCCACAGTTTGCAAGGGCAATGCAGTGAGATCACAAGTCTGTGGCCGGAGCGCAAGCATAGAAAGTTTTGTGCTTCGCGACACAGCTGTCTCGTTTCCTGTTCAAAAGGACCTCTTCATGCGTTCCATGCAGAAGTGCATCAGAGTTGTGTACGCTGGCATGGTTGAAGGTTGCACGTGCCAGGTTGCGATAGTTGCACTTGGCGGCTTATTTTTGGAGCTCTCTCAAACTGAATTTGAGACTTTACGGTAATAAGGAGCCTGTTATTATCTGCCGTGTTTTTACTAACAGGTCTTCAGCTACAGATTGCAGCAAAAAATCATCATCATCAGCCTGACTATGCCCACTGCAGGGCAAGGGCCCCTCCCATGATCTGGCAATCAACCCATTCTCGTGCTTTCTGTTGCCACGTTACACCTGCAAACTTCTTAATCTCATCTGCTCACCTAACTCTGTCTCCCCTTCGTGCGTTGGCCTTCTCTGGGAATCCAGCCAGCTACACTTAACGACCAGTGGTTACCCTGCCTACATGCCCGGCCCATGTCCATTTCTCCTTCTTGATTTCAACTATGATATCCTTAACCCAAATTTCTTCCCTGACCCACTCTGCTCTTTTATTGTCTTTTGAGGTCCCTTGTCTCTTAAGCAGTGAAAAAACGCATAGCCGAAATTTTTATGTCAGTACCCACTTACGGTCTTCTACTTAATTGCACAGTTGAATCACAGAGCTTAAATCTGTTTTGAATGATCTTTAAGACTTTCTTTACTGGCTCAATGCGTTTACGTGAAATTTTTAAGGCCAATCACTTGCGAGGCAGTAAACTCGGATACTGAGATTGTTTGATGATTGTTCAGTACCCTGTTAAGTGTGGTAGACTGAGCTGGATGGCATGTGACCACCATTGGCATGAGTTATCGGTAGGCGTCTTCGTTTGTCAATGTCTTTCGTATTTGCCATAGTATTGTCTATTTTAGTTCTCGGCAGTATATGCTGAAACAACATCACAACATAAAAGCTGCTGATTTCATTACGTTTCTGTCATATTAGTAAAATAGCACGTGCTTCACTTTTGTTTGGACAGTAAAACAGGCATGATCTTGTTCGGACAGCAAAACAAGAGCTTAAACGCCTTTGCAGACTGTACAAATCTAAAACTTGAATTTCATGGGGTTGGAACAGACTATGCAGGCGTGCATCACAGGTTAATTAACATTTTAACATCATAATCATACCTGAAACAATAATGCCTAACTGCACTTGCTAATTTTTTTACACTAAATTATACCATAAGATCAACTCTCAGCTGAACATTCCCTGCACAGAGCAGTTAGTTATTGGCAGCTCTGAATATTCATTGTAAATGCTAAAAAGGATGTCAAAGTGGCCTGTTTCCTTGGTGTTTAAATATTCCATGCTTTGAAACCTCTGTGAATGTAAATTAGGCTTCAGAATCAGCATTTTCCATTCAAGCCAAAGATATCTACACTGAACTTAGTTTCAGTAGCAAAAGGTCAATGAAAGCAGGTTCATAACTGAACAAGAGCAATTTTCATGCAGCCAATGTCTTAATTAAGAATAAATGTAATTTTTATTAAAATATGACACCCATAAAAAGGGAACCCAGAAATGTGGTATGCCAATTTTTTTTTTTTTTTTCTGAAAATGAAATCTTTTTTCTTGTAGGAAGCCCAAAAGGCACCGCAGCGCAAAAGCCTGGGCGACATGCAGCCTTATACTACCCATACAGAGGCACGGGTTGTGGAACGCAAACGTGACTCGTTGGAAAAAAAGCAAATTGGAGGTGTGGGCGCCGGTGATGCCGTAGAGAAGGATGTTCCGCAAAAGGCAGACAGTCTCCCCAAGAAAGCCCGGCGCACTGGCAAGAAATCACGCAGCAAAGCACGGAGATCAGCCCCGCAGAAAGTGAACCTCCTCGGACAAGTAACGGACCACCCAATCCGGAGCCTATGGATGTCGGGGCCACTTCTTGTAAGTCTACTTTTGTCGCTTGTTGGCGGCTGCTCTGTAATCTTGTACAGCTTGAGGAGTTCGGGAGATTGCCTCCGCAGCTGAAGTAGTCCCTCTCATGTGCCAACAAGCAGTCGCCGACCGTCCAGCTCAAGGTGTTGGTCCATACTGCTCTCCAACTTGTGCAGCCTTGTATTCACCTACCTTTGCAGAGGGAATGCTGCTGCCTTCTAAAGTTGTATACAACTATGGTACCACAAAGCTTCGCAGTGGATGCATGTCTTCCAAACTGCGCGAATGATGTCTCGGAGAAGGCGCGAGAGCATAACTGAGCCTTCATGCTATCGTTTTCTCTTTTCTGTGTTGTATGTTCACACTGTTTTACAAAATTCATTCACACCAACTAGCTGAATTCAGCATTTTATATAAATGGCAGTTTCGTGACATTTTTTATGTACAGTAAAACTTCCTAATTCGAACTCGGTTATTTCGAAATCCCACTTAATTGGAAGGATTACTGCAGTCCCGTATTTTGCAATGCAAGTTTGAGTGGATTTGAAGTGGCGGCCGGCACCAGTTCGGTTAATTCGAAAACTTTTGGTGCCGTGTGCAAGTTTCAGATCCCGATTTCGCCGCAAATCCGCCGGAACGACGGCCCTTAATAGCCACAAGGCAATTCAACATAGCAATACTAATGAGTGGTAGCTGAAGCACCCCAACCTCGCTACTTCCAGTGCAAAAGAAAAAAAAAAGAAGAAAACAATACGGTCTCCTGGTCAACCAAAACGTGTGCCTGTGGAAAACTGGATGTGCTTCACTGCAACACAGCGGTGATGTGCGGCCAGAGTATCTAGCATGTTTCTAGCAACGTTAGCCGGTGATGGTTCACTCATTCTTTCTGGATTGTAAAGAAATTAATAAAGGACAGCTTGGCGAAATTCACGATGTATGCGAACCTCCGATTGCCGGTTGCTCTAGCAATTCGCGCCCTTGCACTGCTGGCAGAGTTTTTTCCCGCAACTCCTACTTTGAAAACTAAGTTCGAAAGTATCAAAGATCATATTTTCAAGCCAAAACTCATCGCGAATTTCGTCATACTGGCCATTAATAAATTTTTAATTTTACCAGAAAAAATGTGCGAATGGTCGCATCATGACGTGCTGACGCAGCGAGGTGCAGGCAACATGCTGCTCGCGTGTCACTACTGTGTTGAAGTGAAGATGTCTTGTTTTCGCAAGTGCACATTTCAATTGATCACGACAGCGGTTTTTTTTTTTTTTTTTTTTTTTTTTTCATTGGCAGCAACGACGCCCACTGTTCCCCCGTGTTCGCGGCAAAATTAAGATTAGGTATTGCTGGAAAACATAACCCGTGGAGCCGCAACCTAGCCAGCAAACGACAAGCACTGATAACTTTGAACAGCAAACGACAAGCACTGATAACTTTGAACAGTTCTGAGCTCCTCGAATCCCACATTTTGAATGTTCTGTTAATTCAAAAACCCTCTTAATTTGAAGATTTCTTGTGGCCCCAGTGACTTCAAATTAACGAGGTTTTACTGTTTTAAAATTTAAAATTGCATTGTACAGACCACACCCAGTGCTGCATGCAGACACGTGCACATAGGATACTGCAGGCAAGTATAGAAATAGAGCTTGAATATGCGCTGCCTTGGGATAATAGCGTGGCGGAAGATTTTCGTTTGATCAGTGACGAGCGAAATTCTGGGTACATCTTGGGAATTGATAAAGCAGACTCCTAAAACCTCTGATGGGCTTTGGAAGAAAGTCTTATTGCGGTATTGCTGTCTTTGAAGCGGGGACTTGCTTCAATTTGACATTCATGTGCAGTTTCTTCATTTTCCCAGAAAAACTTCCTGAACGACACTAAAACACCGACAATGAAGTCTGTTTTGTTTCTTTGTTTTTTTTTTTTCTCACTGTTCATGTTTTTGTGCACCTTAGCTACCATAAGATGTCGAAGATACGAACTAGCTGAGGCCCAAATGCTGAGTTGCTGAAATATGATGTACATATCTCATTTCTGGTGTAAAATGGCTTGCAGCATTGTAGAACCTTGTAGAAGTATTGGCCTTGCACATAAACGTACTAATCCAATACATCGAACCCACATACAATGCCACGCACACTGTGTGTAGGCATGCATGTGTCACTTCAGTTTTCATATTAGTTTGACTCTAATTGGTTCGCGCTCCCTGCGCAAATTCATTGGGAGTGTTAAGACATGACCAAGCTTACTCGTGTAAATACAAACCTCATGTAAATACATACTCGTTCAGTTTTTCATCCCAATTTCATTACAGTGGTAATTTTTCTTGTAGCTCTACTAGTTCAGGAGACAGGCATAGCTGCCACCCTATTTATTGCTTCCACAAACACCAGAGAAAAAAGGGCTCAACGGAAAATTAATATATTGGCTAGCCAACATATTGATCGAATTGATTTGTGGGGTTAAACTGATTGATTTGTGGAGTTTAACGTCCCAAAACCACCATATGATTATCAGAGACGCCGTAGTGGAGGGCTCCGGAAATTCGGACCACCTGTGGTTTTTTAATGTGCACTTAAATCTGAGCACACGGGCCTACAGCATTTTCGCCTCCATCGAAAATGCAGCCGCCGCAGCCGGGATTCGATCCCGCGAACTACGGGTCAGTAGCAGAATACCTTAGCCACTAGACCATTGCGGCGGGGCTAGCCAACATATTCTGCCATGCAATACGTGCAATGCTGCAAACATTCTCCAAGTCATAGTCGATGTACAGATGACTGCTTGGCTAGCATAAAGGAAAAAAAAAACAGTTAAATGTTTGAATGATGTGTGTAGAAAGTAAACGTTCTGCTTGCAGCTTTACCGCTGATTTTCAGGTAGGGCTTTGTGTTACAAACTAATAACTTTTGCAGTCCTATATTATGCTATCGCTCCAGCAAATGTTCTAGATATGTGTATATGTATGTGTATATATACATACATCGAACGTGTTGTGAAAAACTACTGATCGGATGAAGTACTGATCTTGTACAGCCTAATTTGTGTGCAAGAAAAAAAGCCATAAATATTAGTTATGTATGAGCCCAACAATTTTATTTTCCCCTCTTTTTTTTCTAGAGGCCTAGGTAAGTTGCTGTATGTTGTAAGCACCACAGTTAACCTCGATTTTAGCTTGGTTAATACATATACTTGATAGGCTTGTGTAAGCATAACTTTTTTGGAGTGAAGCGAAGTTTGTTGAATGGCAGCCAGTACGGTATATCAAAATTTCAAAACTATGTAAAATAGCCTGCATTTTAATAGTAGAGTACAACTTATAAGTGAATGCATGCATGCATTCTGTATTTTAAAATATTTATTACTTGGCCCATATAAGTTCATATAACATGCTTTGTAATTTTAGAAAGATGATATCGGGGTGCCTTCAGGGATGGCATCTCAGCAGTCCTCATTACTTTTGATTAGGTAGTTTCACAATATAACTGCACCACATTGCAGTGAAACTACCCTTTCAAGTGTTAAGGTATGTTTATTCATTCATATTAAATCCTCTGATATTGGAACTTTAGATTTCGTGTTGAAGCAAATTCAAATATACTACTGCAGTGTTAATACTGATATTCGAAGTGCTCAGATAATTTAGCAGAGTTTGCAAATGGTGTTCCTTTTCTTCCATTTCAGCAACAGACGAAGATGGTGCCACGCATCCCTCAACGGGGCGTCTGTGCAGGCGAAACGTGCCGCAGAAGAGCTACAAGGAGCCTAGCATTCACACGTAAGTGTGGATGAGACAGTGTTGCCCTATTCGCTGTGCATGAACAACCTTTTCGTTTTGAACGAACTACCGAACTGTCGTAGTGATTATTTTTCTCTTTCCTTTTCAGAAAACTTCGACGACCATAATGATGGGCAGAGGCATGTTTGTGTTGTGTGTACTTGTAACTTATCAAGATTTTCATGCGACGCCATTTGTTTCATTACACCGCCGCGTCCATCCTTCTGATCACGCTTTCTTTACCTTTAACAAAGACAGTCGTCTTTATGTGCATTTTAGCAAATAACACAAGGTACACTTTGTGTAATCTTTTTGATGAACAAACCGTCGAGGAAAGACGGGAGGAGGGTAGATAAACACAATGATAGAGCAGCACGTGCGACATATCAGGTAAAGTACAAACCAAAGTAAACGCTTATGAGGTGTCTTCGTCCTAGAGTAACTTTCTTGGCAGAACCTCGACGACCTCTACTGGAGTCGACTTGAAAGCACTGGTGCTGTTAAGCCGAGTGCGCTGGATGTTCAAATTCAAGAGGCCAGACTCTTGCTACTTGGCTTTGCTGCCTGTCTTGCTGAAGGAAGGTCAACGTCACGACAAGCCCAGATGCTCGCATGATATAGCCAGTGCTGTCAGTGCCGGTCTCTTCAATATGAACTTCAGTAACCCTGAAACCAACTGCTGCTTTTGCCAAGCTAATTTGCTAGCCGTTCGCAAGGGCATGTTTGGACTTTAGCAAAACACATTTGCTGCCGGAACAATAGCTAATTCTTCATTGGACAAGTGTTGGCCGGCACTGTGATTCTCTGCCCATCTCTCGCCGTCTTTGCCTTGCAGTCAATTCGTGAATAGACGGGCCAACTAGCCCGCAACTAAGCTCATGCATAAACTGCGTTTCATTGTAACAATGCATATGTGCTACTGTTTTATTGAAGAACCACTGTATGTACGTTGCGCGACACGATTCTCGTAGTATGCAAGAGAATAAAGATTTTATGATGGGGAAAACTAACAAAGCTTGTCACTTTATTGTCTCCTGCCTCCTGTCCTGAATTCCCACTGAATAAGAAATTTGCTTTTTCGGAGACTGTAATGGCCTTTGTAGCGCTCATCTGCAGGTTATGAAAGCAACAAATAGTTTTTCGTTTGCACAGAAAACGACAAATGAAGGCAATGATTCCTACCAAACGTTGAAAACATCAACACAACTGCACTTCTGCTAATAGCACTGTACAATTCTTTAAAACGCTTTGTTTTGATGTGTACTCTAAGTTTCACATACGTAAACCTTAAAAGGAATCACTTGTGTGGGAGACTCGCTTGCTGGATTTCGGGCCGACCGGTCGTGCGCTCGCTCGCTCCGCGCGCTTGCGATCTCCCGCGTCATTGTGGCTCTGGCCGACTGGGCTCGCCCTACGTCATGTCCTGCCGCCGACGACCTTCCACCTCCGACGACAGTGCAGTTCTGACTTACTGGACTTGTTCTACGCCATCCACCGACGCCAAAAGGAGCTCTCGCAGGTGCGCCCCGTCCTCGGACTCCAGTGACCGTGCTCCATCTTTCCTATCTCTTCTATCCCCTCGGTTTGTCCTCGCTCGCTGTGGCTTACCACCACACGTCTCTTCTTCTCTTCTCCTTCTTCGGCTTTCCCACATCTTTACTCCTATCCTTTTTATCCCTCCTCACCCCCATCCCTCGTGAGCTACTGTGGCGGTGTCGCTCATTGAAGCAGACAATAACGGGGCTCGCTTTTCTCTTCTTTTCTCTTTTTAATAGCCACTCCGCAGGAATCACTTGTTAAATGAAACAAAATGCAAATTGTTCACGCCTAGATTTTATCATATTTTGATGCATTCAAAATAAGTGCCAGTACTATTTGCATTCTGAACTTAACAAGAATTTGTTGACAATAGCTCCTCAATATCTACCAGGACTAGTGTGATGTCTTTCACTGTGGCACTGCTGAAGTGGCCGTGATCTAATGAAGCTTGGTAATACGACACTTTCTTAAAATTCTCACTGCAATATTTTAGATCCAGAGCATCTGTTGCTCGGGTCTGGCGGCGTCTGCACTCTCACTGCGCATGCGCAACTCTCCTGCGCTCCCCCTCTCGCCTGCAAAGCCTTGATTCTTGATTGAGTTTCTTGATTGAAAAAGCCGACTTGTCAAACTGCACAACCGTTCACTGGCCATCCTGTATATATGCAGTACAACTCTACAACAACGAAAAATTCGCGGTTCTCCGTAGGCAGTCCATAAGAGTCGATGCATAAATATCGTCACCGCAATGAACATGTTTTCTTCTGCCGTCCCGCTACAACGAAATTTCACCATGCAATTTCAGGCTCGCATATTTATTGTTTCAAGTTTTATTATTTCCAAAAACAAGCTACAAAATCTAAGATATAGACGAGGGTCCCAGAAGCAGAGACTTTAGTGGGAACCTCGATTCGTCGATACAAATCGACGGTAAAATTTATACAAAGCAACAGAAAATTCTTAACAATATACGGACATCAAAATGCACTATTATATCACAAATCAAGCCAAAACATGCAACATGGTAGAAAAAAAAAAACGAAGAACAAACGAGTCAAACAGGTAAATGATCACAAGTAAGGTTATTCAAGAAAATGATTTTTGACGGACTTTTTGAACAAAGGAATTGAAGTGCAAGGCACTGAAAGCGGAAGTTTTTTGCCCATAATTAGTATGAGCAGGGGGGGGGGGTAACAGGCAATCTTTATCAGCCGCAAGCCTGGTCACATTATTATTCTGCAAAAAGATCAGATGTAATAAATGGGAATGCGAGTTGATTATACAGCAGTTTGTGGAATAAAGTCACAAGATTTAACCGGAACAAAAGATTCACTGGCAAGATATTGTGAGAACGTGTAGGCGTTCGATTGCGAAGAACTAGAAGTGACAGTGCGGATTGACTGATTTTTAATGTGCTGTATTGATGATAAATGACAAGCATAAGTGTTGCCCCATGAGACTACACCGTAAGTAATATGACTATGAATGAACACAAAATACAGCTTCAGTAGAGCTTCATGTGTTTACTGTGCAGTAAACACAGTCTTTAACATTTTGATGTATTTTCAGAACTTGAAAATACGTCAACGAAGTCTAAAACAGGCGTTAGCACCACCAGAAACTGCCGCTGTTCAGCAAGCATGGGCGCCGCCATTGCTCGATAGGGATGGGAATGAGACTGTTCTGCTTTTGCCACTGGCTTGCTTTCGAGCCGCAGACGATTCGAAGCTGAAGCTCGGCTGCTCAGTTCATGGTTTTCTTTCACACAGCTGTGCGAGACGATGCCTTTTTTTGATGCCAATACATATCATTTCGTTCAGCGCTTGGCCATTGGGGTAACTAAACGGAGCAGCTGTTCGTCCGCATTATCAACAAAATCAGCTAACCGCGTGTGGTGGATAAGAATGGCATAGAATGAGGCAAAAGTTACCGCTCCACAATGCCCTGCCTCTGTCTCGGCGTTGTCGGATATACTTTGACGGCAGACAGCTGCTGGTGTTAATGCAGCTGTTCGGTTCATTCACGAAAGCGGTTGTAAGCCTTGTTTTAGCGTGCTTTTCACTATGGCCTCGCAATGCATGGGTGAGAATCGCGTCGTGGTGCTGCTAGGAAAGAATAGAAAGCAGCGGACACTTTTTGAATTTTGAGAATAAGCGTTCCTTTGTTTTGATAGCTCAGATCAGGTATATTTTTTTTCGATTTCACTACAACGTAATTTTCGCTTCAACGAAATTTTCATCCGTGCCCCATCAGTTTCGTTGTAGCGGGGTTCGATAGTAGGCACTGGATCTTGACCTTCAAGGTAGTGCCAGTGGGAGATTTCTCATGTGCGTTAATTAGCAGCATGCGCATTAACTAAAATCAAACTGCTGGTATCTGTGTCTAATCCGAGTCATCTGTCTCTCGCTGCCCATTATCAGTGATTGGCACTTCCCAGCAGGAAACACTGGTCTAGTGCTGCGGGCATTGCGCCGCCTCGGGTTTCTCTCCAGCACAATGCCAAGATGAGCTTCAATGTCGCCATCAGTGTAAGTGTTAGCGGTCACTGCATATACACATGGTTACCTTTAGCGGAAGATGTCACTTTTTTCTAGTACAGAAATGCGATTGGATGATTTGAACCTGACAGTGTAACTGTACCGAAATCAGAGTTTGGGGAACATAAAAATATTATAAACTTTTACTTACAGAATTTGCTACAATCTTCTTGGTTCTTAGGGTTGAAAGCAAAATATAGAGCTTGGGTAATGATTGACAACCAACAGCACAAGTGAACACATTAAAATAGTATGCTAATAAAGGCACCCGCCATGATGCTGAAAGCAGACAACACTTCACAGCTGTTTGGAAGGTTTCTTCTGCATATATCTTTTCAGCATTTGGCCACATTTATATTCATGTTAGCCCTAAATATCCCTAGGAGGATACTAGAACAAAATATAAGGGGTGATAGTTGAGCTGGTCTGTTAATTTAAAGAAGCAGAACAATTGTGTAAACACAGCCTCAGTGACCCTGCTTAAAAAAAGTGTTTTCTATGTAAACAAAGTAAGTCCTACTGTCTTCCCCTTATTTTTGAATCGTTTAGTATTTCTGGTTCTTATGCTTCAGCCAGAGCCGCAGTCAGGTGGCCTGCATGCATGCTCGCCCCCTTTGCAGCAACTTAACATAATTACACAGGAAGTGGTAGATGTGTTAAAGCCTTGCATCGTGATGTCCAACCCTTTACTTGATGGCTGAAGTGGTGTACCTGGGATAGAAGCACTTGTCTTTCTGGAAGTGAAAAAGCCTTTTTTTCTAATAAACATGCACAGTGTCTGCAGTACACGTTAGTGCTTTCCGCCTCGCCTATGTTTCGGCTAATTTTAGCAGTGTTTTCTTTTTCTAATGTGGCCATGCTGGTTATTCTGAAAAGCAACCCTTCCATAGGTTAAATTTGCACTAGTAAAGGGTAGAGCTGTTTTATAGTGAGAGCTGTTATAAGATTATAACAAGGGTATTTTTTGGTGTTGTAGTTGCCTGTCGCATTTGCCAATGTGCGTAACCAGTATTGAGCAAAATAGAAGCTGAATAAATGCTGAGAATTGAATGGGAATTTGAACGCAGGCCCTCTAAGTGGCTGCCAAGTATTCCACCGCTGAGCCACGTCGGTGCTTACAACTCCTATTGCAAACTGACCCTAGGCAAGCTTGATGTCGGTTAAGGAATTGCGTTAACATGTGTAAAAAGCATTTTAGAACAGCCATGTGTCACATTGCGTAACAAGTGGGTTGTTTTAATGCAATTGTGGTAAAGAGCTCGTTTCTTGAAATTTGTCGTCGGCGTCTTTGTCGTTGGTTGAGAGCAAAAAATCGTCTTTGCATGACCGAAAAATCGAGAAAGATGCACATAAAAAAAAAATTGAATATATTCGGGGTTCAAGTGTGGATCAAATCAGTGGCTTGCATGGCAAGCGGGTGTTTAACCACACACCATGCTTCTGCTTGTGAATACAGTGAAATCGACTTCCTCTGCTTGGAAGATCGGTGAAAGTAACTTTCATGCTTTACAAACACATGCGTCCTGTATATTACAGGTTTCAGAATACAACATGAAATATTGTCGTAATGCGTAGTACGCATTCGTAATGCGTAGTACGCAAATCGGTAAGTGGAAAATGTCACAGGCATCGTGTAGACATAGCAGTAGTGTATTTATTGAAAAACAATTTTTTTTATCTCATTTAAATAGTGACTTGGAGCTTGCCATACATTATAACAGTTCAATGCTAAACAAGAGGGCCTGCACTTGCTAGTTATGAAACTGATTCCAGAGCCTTTGAATTCCATAGTGCATGCTGATGTGACCCTAAACCACAATGGTGCGCACTTATTCCAACAGTACAAATCACATACAGCATGAAGGACAATGACTTGAAAGCATGACACAAGACAACACAGTGCAAAAATAAGAGCAATAGATGCCAGTCGGTTCCACATTGCCACAAGGCAGTGATGCCATAGCGTAAAGGAACAGATGTAGATCCTAAAATTTTGGCTCACATGTGCATGAACACACAAAAACTCAGCCTTCATCTTTCACATTGTGCATGGTTTCAATTATGGATAAACAAGCACCCCAAGTGCAAGCTGACACCCTAATCAAAATTGATCAATTCCTTATAGCATTTCCACATCTCTCAAATGTATTACGCAGTTAGTATGCCTTCACAGCCACACATTCCCAACTGGGCGAACCCCTGTTCTGGGAGGAGAAAGTGTTCTGATGATAGATGTTCCTTTATTCAGCAGACTTATTGCCATTCAAGGACTAATGCCTTATTTTTCATTGGCTGTAGAATACTGTACCCTTCAATGATAAAACAGCCCGCATGCCATACCATGCCAGGCTGGAATGACAAATAATGGTGTATCATTACACCAACAATTTACAGAATTTGAAGTATTAGCAACATTTATTCTCTAAGGCACAAAATACAGTTTCAATTTACAAAATAATATTGTCTTCTCATAACATTTATAACAGGAAGCTTTCCCGCCGTTCTGAACACGCACATCCTTTCACGTGTAACACTATTGTCCTAGTTTTGTGGAACACAAAGGATTGGCAAATGGGGAGGCTACATGATGGTACTGAGCCTGCACTTGGTCAGGCGTGAGCAGCCTTCATCGGACTTCTCGACCTTGTAGAAGTACTCGGCGTGACCATTGCGCTCGCTCAGGAGCCGCATAAACTCTTCGTCGTGGGTGATGACGATCATCTGGAAGTTGCGTTGGTTCATACGTGCCTGGACAATCTTCCCCAGCGACAATGCCAGACCGTGTATGTTGCTCCGGTCCAGATTTGTCGTGGGTTCGTCCAGAGCAAGTATGCCACAGTTGTGGCAGAAGTTCTCGGCAAGCGCCAGCCGAATGATGAGCGACGCAAGCACCTTCTGGCCCGCACTGCAGCGGCCCCTCATGTCCTGTTCCACTTTTCCTTTTATCATGACCACTCGGTAGTTATAGGTACGACGAGAGCCCTCGATGCCCTTGTCGTCCGTGTCGGTTCTGATTTGGATGTAGTCGATGTCATCGCCGCAGTAAGTGTCCTGCCAGAGCTCTTTGATGACCCGGTTGATGTCCTTCATCTTCTGCTCATGGTACTTCAGCACGGCATAGTTTACAGCTCTGTAGTACATGTCGAGATCCTTGCTGATGAACTCCTTCACATGCATCTCGGTCAGTGCTTTTGTGTACTTTTTCCCGGCGTCCTTAAAATGCCCGCTGAGCTCCTTCTTAGCAGCATCGATCTTCACCCTAAGCTCCCCTTCCCGAATCTCCATTGCTCTCTTGTCTTTTTTGAGCTTTTCAATCTTCTCCAAAATCCTCTGCTTCTCGGCGTCGAGGTTACCCAGTCCACAGCGCTTCATGTCATCTCTGATTCCCTCCATTTTGTCAACATGCTGCTGCTTTCTCTTCTGAAGCTCCTTCACGTGCAAGTTGTCCTTTAGCTCGCGCTCTCTCAGTTCCTGCCGCGACAAACCTTGCTCGAGACGCCTCACGTGAGCAGCCTTCTCTTCCTTTTCGCTTTCTAGTTTCCGCCCGTGCTCCCTGAGTGACTCCAGCTTCTTCCTAACGTCCAGCAGCCTCTGAGGGTTTCCGCTGTCACTGTACTCCTGGATCTTGTCGAAGTGCTTCCGAAGGTCCTCTATTTCTAATGTGCGCTGGTTTACCTCTGACCGCAGTCTGTCGAGCAGGTCCTCTGTTTCGCCTGTCGCATTGCTTTTGGCCTTCTGTGCCTTGTCCAGTATGTGTTGGTGCTGTTGCAGCTCCTTTCTGAGTGCTTCCAATGAACTTTTTAGTGTAACGCTATCAGACTCCAGTTTAGTCTTTTGCTCGTGCAATATCGACTCCTCCTTCATTTTTGACTCTAGTCGCAACTTCGCACTCTGAGCATCCTTGAGAGACATGTCCAAGCCGTGGAGTTGTTCAAGCTTGGAACGGCAGGCATGCAAGTTCTTGTCGTACATTCTGCTTTGGCTCGTGAGATCCTGTATTTCAGCAAGGATACTCTCAGTGGACTTGGCAGAGCCAAGCTGTTGCACTCTGGGAGACTTGGATGCCAGGCTGCGACGAAGTGAGTTTATGTCGAGTTCCAGGCGATCAATGCGTTCAGCTTCGTTAGCCACAGAATTCGCCATGGCCAAGTCAAACAGGCGATTTTCCAGAATCTCTTCTTCCTTAGCCAGTTGAGCTTCCAGAGACGTCTGCTCAGCTTTCAGCTTTTCAATCTTCTGCTTCAGCTTTGGGATGTCATGAGTCCTCAACTGTGCCATCTTTGTTTCATCACCCTTAAGCCGCTGCATCGCATTGAAAAGGTTTTCCTTTTCAGAAATCTCGTCAGACTTTTTTTTGGTCTCATTGGGCAGTGTGTCGATGCTCCTCTCCAGGTCAGCAATGAGGTTTTTAACCAACTCCCTTTTCTCAAAATCTCGTTTGCAGAGCGGACAACACGGTTTTGCTCTCAGGGACTTGGCAAAACTTTTATACAGGGCAAGCTTACCACTGACAGTGCTAGTTTCTTCACGCACTTTTTCAATGAACTGACTGAGGTCACTTATGCTTTCATCCAAGTTTTCAGAACCACAGACAGCAATGATCTTTTTCCGGCTCTTTTCAAGCTCGCTTTCCTTGTTCCTCAAGTCCTCAGCATGCATCCTAAGCTGCGCCTCCAGAGAGCTCTTTTCACCAAGGAGCTTGTTTATCGTGCTCCGAAGGCAGCTGACATCACCTTCAATTTGTGTTGTCGCTTTCTTTACATGCTTGCCATAGTCTGATGTGGGCACACTGCCTAGAACCTCTCCAAATTTTTCTTTGTTCTCATCGAAAAGCGACTTAAGTGCCCCAGACTTCTCTCCAATCTCCTGCTTGATCCTATCGAGCTCAGCTTGCTCTTTGCTGAAACGCTGGGCGTTAAGGAGGTCTGCGTTGAGCATGTCCAATTTTCCAGCAATTTCATCCTTCAGTGTCTGGCTGCTGTCAATCTTTTCTCGCAGGCCTTCTCGTGAGTCCTCCCCTTCCAGAGCTGTGATCTCTTGTTTGAACCTCTCAATCTCCCTGTTCAGATTTCTCACCTGCGAGTTGTAAGTCTTGGCATCAAGGAGTTCCTTGCGAATCCTCATAACCTCTTTGCTGTTTTCGTCAATACTCTTTCGTACAGAATCTAGTTTCTGCTCACACTTAGACTTCAGCTCTCGCGCAGAGTCTATTCTTCCCTGCAGAGCCTTCTCCTGCTCCTCACATTCCTGCTTTGCGTCCTGAAAACGTCTTTGGGTTTCGTTCTTTTTCCTCTCAAGTCCCGCAAGGACAGCTGTAACTTTGTCCTTGAGCGAATCGCTGGAACTAACGTCAACATTTAAACGTAGACTTCTGTTCAATCGCTCCAACTTTGCTTCCACTTTCTGCGAAGTCTCCTGCACAGCCTGTTGTTCACTTTGCAGGTGACCTAACACAGGGAGCAGCTTTTTATGTTCGTCGCTATTTGCGCTCAACAGCGAGCATGCTTCCTGGAGAGCTGTCTTCTCCCTTTCCAGGGATGCCTTGTCTTCCAGCATCTTAGTTTGAAAGTTTTCTATCTCTTGCTTCAACTGCTCTTCTGAACCGGTGAAGACATCTTTCAGGTTCAGTGTGATTCGCTTGATTTCGTTTTCTGTGTACTGAACCTGCTCTTTTTCAGCCGAGAGCTTCTGCTGAAGGTTTCGCTCCTTGTCCAGCTTCTCTTCGAGTGCCTTCCAAGCAGTGCTCAGCGGTTCTAGCCTATCCTGAATGTCGCGTATCATGCCGGCGCAGTCTTCAAGCCGCTGCTCCGATTTTGCGACTTCCTCTTCGTATTCGTCGGCTTTTTCCTTGTTAGCTTGCAGAAACTTGATGGTTTCCCTCATCATCTTCACTCCGTTTGTGTACTCGATCTTCTGCTTGCGAATCTGCTCCAGGGCCTTTATGTATTGGGTGGCTGCAAATATGTTGTCAAACTTGGTCTTAAGCGCCTGCCCTTCGGAGAGCGGCCAGTTGGAATCACTTTGATGGCAGAATATGACGTTCTCCAGTATGGCACGTGGGACTCCCAAGAGTTCGATGACCGTGGCGCCGACGTCGAAGCACCTCGGCGTGGCTGTGGTTTTCGTGCCGTCTTTGGCGTACTGCACAAGCGCGGTGTCGACGGTCTTGAACGTAGTGCTCGTCTTGTTTTGACGCAAAAGGAAACTTCGCGTCAACACGTTGGCGCATCCCGTGACGTCAATAAACTTCAGTTTAATCTGGGCGTTCACCTCGATCTCGCTGTTGAGCTTCGGGTCGTGGATGAACACTTTACCTTGACCCGGAGGCAAGTCTCCCGTAGTGGCGTTGCGCAGACACTCGATGATGGTCGTCTTCCCCGTACCATTGCTGCCCAGAATCAGCGTCAGCGGCGAGAAAAACGTAATGATCTGCCTGTCGGCCTCTTGCGGACCGAAACTCCTAATGCCTTGAATCTGTAGCTTTTCAAGCATCGACATTTTGAGGTAGTAAAGTGAACTCGCGCCAACCGAACACTAATCACTCCCAATCACCGCCTTACAGGCGGAGTCTCCGCGCATTCCCGCGCAGCGACGAGTGTTCTGTTCTGACTTGCTTTGACACGCTTGTGGTTTACAGCTAGCCAAGCTAAGCCGTAAGCCAAGTTCAGTTAATGTTTGAGCCAGTTCGAGGAGAGATTCAAGTCATTTCAAGCCAGTTGTTTCTTCCTAAACACGGACAGCCGTTGAAGCGTACGGTCGCACTACCTATGGGGACGCTACCCGTGTCGTAGCGATGCGCAGCCGTTGCGGGCAGCGAGCAGCTGCGTTTAAGGTAATGCTGTGGCCACCGGAGACGTAATTAAATGGTGACCAAAGTCATTGTAAGGTTCCTGAAGAAGAGGATTGTGCTCGCTCTCATCTTCGGCGTGTCGCTTCTGTACTGCTTATCGTCGCTGTTAACCGAGGTGGGTCACGGTCTGCCGACTTCTCGTGTTCGCGGCCTCTTGGTTCGGCACCGCTCCTTGGTGCTTCTCTGATGCAGAGAAACCTTTAAAGGAGATGTTGCTTTGCCGGACGCGATCCAGCCGGTTTGTTTACACGGGGATCGGATCGAGCAGTCGTGAGGCCTACGCTTGCGCCTAATTTCCGCGTGTGAATTTTTGGTTTCAGGATTCGCTGAGCGTCGAGACGAACGAAACTCTTGGAAAGATTTCGCTGCCGCCGAGTTCCTTCAAGTGGCATGTGGATAAAGAAAAGGGCAACTCGAGTGCCCCCGTTAGTTGCAGAAACTCGGTACAAGGAAAAGTCCTCGTAGCAGATGATCGAGGTAAGTGGAGCTTGGCGGTCGCGATCCGATTTGGGGTCGGCGCATTTAGAGTGCTAAGGTGTAAATGTCAAGTTCTGTGTAAGGGTTTTGTGAAGCAACCGAACATCAAACGAATGCTTTCGCTGACGCTTATTGGCTAAACGCAAGCAGCAGTACCTTCGGACTCTGCACCTAATCATCTGGTCTGCGTTTGCACGTGCGCTTATCCAATTTGTACGTTATGCTATTGGTATTCCTTTCCGGAACCGAGCTGATTAAATACAATCTGTTGGCACGATGCCGGAACATGAGCCGCTTATGCGGCAAGGAAAGGCCGGTGTCGTTTGACTTTTAACGCGAGTCAGAGGCGGCTTGCGCGTGCTCCCGTACTTGGCCGTAAATTTGCTGCTCGTTGTGATTCGCTTGGTGCTACATTCGTCTAAAACAGAAGTTTAAGAACAAAATATTGTATCGAGTGGTGTTCTTGTTCTTCAAAACGTTATGTATTTTTCGCTCTCTTGAGGAGGAGTTTTGCTTTGATTACATTTTTAATAACTTATTCCTGTTAATGGGAGCTTGCAATGCCAAAATACAGAGCAGCGCGTAGCTTTTGTGGGATGATTGTTTTGGGTGATTGAGGGATGCCGGCTCAATCATAGGTTTCTTTGAAGCATAAATTACTGTTCGATAAAGCAGAAGATAAGCGGAAACAAAATTCTGTACACATGAGTGGTACAGATCGTATTTTTCAGGCCAAAAGGACACGTCTAGGGGAACTTAAAAAACCTGTTAGGTTGATATCGCTGGTATTGTGTAATGTGCCAATACTTGTGACACAGACAGAGTTTAGCCTGTAGCAGTGGCACGGAAACTGGAATATTGTTTAAAAAACAAACAAACTGGTGTTGGCATTGTAGGTTACGTCTGCCAAAGATCAGAGGTGGCATCAAATGGCTGTTGCATCGCCGAAGCTTCCAGCACACGACGCTACTGCTGCGATACGTGCCAGCCCAATGGTTGCTGCAGCATCTACGAGTACTGCATCTCGTGCTGCATGCATCCGCAAAAGGTGCTGACAACTGCTTCTTTGCAGTGTTGTAGTCTTCCCCTCATCTCAACTTGGTGTTGTTTCAAATTACAGTTTTGTTAAGATGAAACGAAAGAAAAACATTGAGCATTGCTAGAATAATAAAGTACACCATATCTCCTTGCAGTGGCAGGTTTACTCTGAAGAAAAATTAAACCAGTCCTTCGCCAGTGAAATCTGAGTAAACAGCAGAGCTAACAAGTGAGCCCCACCCCCTGGCAAAAGCAGATTGAGTTCTTTATCTATTGATCTATCTAGCTTCATTTCTTTCTATATTTCTTACCCACCTCCTTTCCTCCTGCTATGCCTTATACTAGTCCACCTCACTCTCTTTCCCCACCCTTCGCTATGCTATACTGTGTATGCTCATGTAATGGTTTAACCTCTCACCTCCTTTCCCAAACATCAGTTCTCCTCGCCCATGCTATTCTTAAACTGTACTATACAAGACTGTGCTATGCTTTACTCTTTCTTGTTCCCCTTTTCCTCCTCACCTTTTCATCACACTTTCTTTTCTTACACCCTTGCTATACTATGGATATGCTATGCTAGAAACGGCTTGGCATATGTCCACTGTCTGTGGCACGTAAACTGTGCTATACAAAAGCTATGCCACACTTTGCCCTCTACCATCCTCCTCTACTCCCTCCTCAATCTCGCTTCTCTTTCCCACCCTCATGCTATGCTATACTATGCGTGGCTGTGTTATGCTATAAACTGCTGGGCAAGTACCTGCCTTCAGTGGTTACGTGCATACTATCAGAGTTCTCTGTGACACCTGCCTTACTCTGGACTCAAACAGCTCTGCTGTTAAAAGAGTATGCTATGTCGCACAGTTATAGTAGTATGACTCATTGCATGTTTCATGCCCTCTGCCGTTAAATTCGCAGGCCACTCATTGCAAGGTGCTACCACCTTAGGTGATTTATCAAAAGACACATACAGAAAGGGCACCGCACTCTTCCTAATACTGGCACAGTTGTGGTACACAATCCTCAAGGCGTGTCCCCTTTGGAAGCCATATCTATTCTCGGGTTTATAATGAGACACTGCACGCACCGAGGAGACATTCATATTTGTTGTAGCTTTCTGAAAAGTCATTTTGCATTTTTTGTGTCAGAAAACGTCGCACATTTCATGGGAAGAAAGCAATTTAAACAAATTCAATGTTGTTCGACGGGGGTGCTAATTCTTGCTAGTTTATTTTTCATTATTATCTAGAACAGCGCATGAGGTACATACAAGAAAAAACTATGTTTCAAAAGTTCTAACCAGACATAATAGAAAAGCCATGTGCTGTATGCATTTGTGTTATGTGTCTCCTCCATCCTGTGTCTATGTTTTGCTTTTTAAATATACTTGTGGATTACGAATACGCCCAAGCATTGGCTTTGGTGAACATCACAACAGACAAAAGGTACAAATGCAATAATCTGCTCCTCTATGTCACTTCTCATATGTTCATTCTCTGTTCATGCACTGTTGTAGACATTTATTAGTTGTTTGGTGGTATAGTGTTGGCTGACCCACTGTCTTGTCTTCACTTGTTGCCTCTCTTCTCCCGCCTCTCTTTTCCTTTTTTTTTTTCACTTCCTATTCTTGTTTCAGAACACTTCATGCTTAAAAGAGTCATATTGCAATCACACGCAGATCACAATACTGCAGAAGATCCTAGGGAAGGCATCAGACACCTTCAAAATGTTGGTGGCATCCATCACCGACCACTTCGAGCTGTGCCTCACTAAGTGCAGGACCTCGTCTGATGTACGTATGGCTCTGTGGTGGTGCGTTGATCTGCATTAAATGTAAAGTCCACTCTGTTTTCCTATGCTTGAAGGCTTTTAATAATATTAGTATTAACAAAGGCAAGAAGTGTGGTGTTAAGTCGCTGCAAAACAAGTTTGACTTTTATCTTCAACTTCATGATATGAGGAGTTCTTTTAATGCATAGCACATGTTCAAATGTTGCATTGTTTAACCAACCAACACTGTAAGGAACAACACGAAGTATTTACATTGGGATAGCAAGCAGTCGAATTGATTATGTGGTTATGAAATTGGTGTGCACCGCGTCGACATTCTTGCACGGGACAGCACTAACGGAGCAGTGACCGAGCTTGTTGTCCACTTCATTGTACTAATCATGCTTGTTGGCGAGTACAATTATGATGATCATATGTATCTATGCTTTTCCAACAGAGTGTGCATCATGAGAACTCGTACCGTGATCCCAAGGCAAAGCATTGCTATGCTGACGAGCCGCCCAGCCAACAGATGTCGACGCGAAGCCAGCTTATGAAGGAGTGACTGATCAGCTGCTGACGTCTATGTGGAATTCTCCCGGTGTTTTGTTCTGCTTGCTGCTGCCTTTCAATATCTGAGCTCACTCAATGTGCCCAGCTGGCTAGCCAAGTGTAGCAAGTGCCTCATTGCAGTGGGCTACGCTTTATTGTGCTCCTGCTTTCAAGGCAAAGCTGAGCGCTTGCCTTGAAAGCAAGTATGTGTGCCTGGTGTGTTAAAGTGGCATGATTCAGCGAGCACGTGACAGCAGCTGCATTTTGTTGCACTAGCAGTTAATCTCGCTTTATTGATAATACTTGCTCATTGTAGCTATTACATCGCAATTGTCGGACCCGGTGAACAATTTTATTGTAAGATGTACGTACTTTCATTGTGCATGTAGTTCAGTCTTGCTTTGTCTCTGTAGGAACATTGGTTTAAGAACTTCTACTGTGTTTTCCTGTGCTTGTTTTCTTTAAATTTTTCGAAAGCTGTTATTCTGAGATATCTGGTTTGAAGCACTCACAGTGGCCCTGTGATGCAAAGAGCAGCGGATATTTTGCGTAGGGCTGCTCGTAGTTAGTGGCTATTGCTCAGGCTGTCATTTTTAGTCATTGTTGCTCTAGTAGCACAGACCGGTCTGTCCAAGCTGCTCAAGACAAATGGGCATTCGGTAGTCATCATTGGTAATGTTTGGCTTTTCAGCAGTACTATACAGGATAAATGGATTTTTCATAGGCTGATCTCGTAGCGGGCTGCATTTTGAACAGAAGCGAGAACGGTGCAGGCACCCTCAGCCACTTGTGATTCACTGTCACCAACGTGAAGAACTGAGAAAAAAATAGCATGGTTAAGTGATCAAGTATACTAAGCAGGAATGCACATGAAGCAGGATTCGTCGGCTTCATTAGTCTACGCAGCGCTGCTTCATAACTCAAAACTTCTTCATCCATCAGACTTGCACAAAACATTATTTTGCGGTGCGGCATGATTTGGTTCAACTTTTAAAGTTTGCAGCTGCCCATCTGCTGATTAGCTCACAGATTACTAAAACCTCAGAATATTTATTTGTTACATTTTCAAAGTTTTTTTTTTTAAATGCACTGCTACACAGAGTGACACCTTATGAAACACTCATTACCATCAAATACTTTGGGGTTATTTCAGCTCAAAAATGATTTTCAAGCCCGGGCTCGTGAGCAGTAAACTGAGCTACGTATTTCAACACACAATATGTCGCACTTGCGATCCGGTGTACAGGTGCAACACGCCGACGCAAGCATTTAAGCTTAGACGAGTTGGCAACTTTTGCCATCTGCCTGCTTTTTTATGTCGTTGGCTAGCGTGTGCTGTGAAGATCATCGAGGTGATTTCAGTCATGAGTAGGACTCATTCGCTGGAAAGGGTTGAACAGAGATTGTGGCATTACTGCTTCTTAGATACAAGTGTCCTTGCACGTTTTCTTGAAGATGACGAACAACGATCATCGACACGGCGGTACGCGTTTCATATATGGGTCTTGCACATGGTTCACATTGTCCTGCTTTACTTTGGTAGAACAGTCAGAGTCGAGCCTCTTTTTGTAGAAAAAAAAAAAGTGCACTCTTTGTCACAAATGTGTACTATAATGGCGATACCTTGTGGGCTTTATATGTGCCACTTAAAAAACTGCCTTCGTTGAAGAAGAGGCTTTTTTTTTTTTCACATTTGTAAGAGTATTTTCAAATTCTGTACTGTTTGCCAGTCTAAGCGACCAGTACTTTCATATTGGCCTAGAGGTGCAGTGTTTCTCCTTCAGGTGCAGTGTTTGCTTAAGAGGGCACAACTTGTATTTGCCATTTCTTCCAACTGGTGGACAAACAGAAGCTAGATACATAGTGCATAGTACAAGCTGAACTTTCTGCATAGGCTGCGTATCATTGCAGCCGATCACTTCGATGAAGGTACCATGATGTTCGACATGCTGTTCCTAGACCATCCTCACTTTTTTCTTCCATCAAAATGAAAGCAACTAAAAACAAATTGTGCATGCATTTTTTAAAACTTGATTTAATTCTTGTTATGCAAAAATGGAACATAACTGATTGCTGCTGATTGCAGAATAATTAGAAATCTGATGACACACTAGTTGCAATTAATTACTGAAACTTGTACAGTATGTATCACCTTTTTTTTTAATGTAGCATTAAGTGCCTTAGAATTATGTTGCGTAGATATGACATGGTTGCAGATAGTTCGTCAGAACTAGCGCCTGAAGGGGTATGTACATAGTGTTTCTTTCATACTTGCGTCAACTCTTGTACAGTGTATTGTGATGACTCCTCTTTCATACGTTACTATAGTCACATATGTTCAAGGCTTCTGGCGAGATTCCTTCGGACATGTACTCCGTCTCATAATAATCTTGCATTAGAGTGGAACCTACTATATATGCTTAGAGACGGAATCTTGGGTTCGTTCAGTCTTTGTCAAGTTTCCGGACATTCAGTTTTGATTCGCAGCTGGAAGGTGGCTGTTGTTTTCAAATCGCTGTCTTCATCTGTCGACGGCAAGCGTTTGAACATCAGAACAAAGACAGAATCTCTACTGTATATCATCCCCAGTATGCAGGACTTAACAGACTATGCTGCTTTACGGTCCACTTCAGAGGTACAGGGGTTACGGTGCTTCGTTGCTGACCGGAAAATCACTGGTTCGATTCCAATCATGGGGACTGCACTTTGATGGAGACAAAATGCTTGAGGCTCGTGCACTGTGCGGTGTCAGTGCACGCTAAAAGACACGAGGCGGTCGAAAGTTTCCACAGCCTTTGACTGCAGCATGCCTCGCAATCGTATTGTTATATTGTCATCAGAAATTATGCTTTTTTTTGTGTGGTTTGAGGCTGTTTTCCTGCATTTGCTACATTTTTCTGGGTCATGTCAGCTTTAGAAGCTCCCACTTAAATGCCAGATTTTTTTTTTAATGGGGCACGGTAGAGGAATTTTTCTTACACAGGCCACATGCTACATAGTTTGAAAACTTTATTGGTGAGATCATTTGCACATATCTGTTGTCGGACAAATCAAAAGGACTTTTACAAATAGGTGTCCAGAGGCTTTCGTTGTTCTCAGTGCACATGCATTAAATGCAAAGCACGCTTCCGGTTAGCGCAACAGCCACTTTTCTCTTTTTTTTTTTTCAAGTAGTATGCGTACCAAATAAACCCAAGGCCTGAACACCCAGTTTTAATACTCTAAGGTTTTAAGCAAAAACAGTGCAGGCAGTGAGTGGAGAATTTCTCGATGCACCATGGTATGCTTATAAATGGGCACTGATGTTTTGCACACGATTATGACATGTAAATCTGTTGTTACTTTGTTTTGGGGATTTGTATGTGTTGTATTGTGAAGGATGTTGTTGTCGGCTGCTTTTATGCATGTACATAGCTGCCTTTCTACAAGTTTGGGAGGGAATGGGTCTCAGTATGAATAAAATATTGATGCTTACAATGTGATGTTCTCCGTGTTAATTCATTCAATTGTGGGAACTCGTTGAGAAAGGCAATTCGGTGCTTCGAAGCAAAGCTGCCATGGACAAAGATCAAATACGGCTGAGCAAGTGCACCGTTGGACCCGTGAGTAACATCGCGACTTTGTGCATGAGCAGTGCTCTTACAGAGACATTTGCAGACCATAACATAGGCTGTTCGCATATTATCATTCCGATTTACCTTTAACGCGGTTGCGGGGTTTCGCTTTAGTATGTGCGGGAAGTATCCGACGCTGCATCGAAACCGAAAGTAGCTTTTGTATGAAAGCAGGCATGCAAGAAGAGAATGGAAAATAAAAGTTGAATGTGCGTAAGGTGGGGAGGTGTGTACAGTGTAATAAACCGCTCAGCACGGCACACCCTGCAGAGTACTGAGAATGATAAGCGAGTGTTCATTTCTAAAGGTGGATTGTCCAGTTTCGGAACGACACCTACGCATAGAACAAACACGGGTGTGAAACAAAATGATTCGGCAGTGATTCATTGGCCTTTTTTTTTTACTCTTCTGATTGGTTGTGTTGCGTGCAGTCTTTTCGAGAATCCCCTTGCTTCGTCCGGCGCTTTTATGATGAGTCAACTGTTTGCCTCGCGAGCGCGGAGTTTTCGAACCGTCATTGCTATCAGCAAAGCGACGTTGATGGCGTGCAACTAGCGTGCATGCCGTAGTGTTGAGCTGCGGTAAACGCTGCACGATTCGCAGAAAAAATAAAGTTCACTCGTTGGAAGGCAACTTGCTGTAATGTTCCCCCGTCGTTTCGCCACATATCTCCTATGTGCGCTGCTGATTTCCCCCACGGTTCTCGCGAAAGGCAAGTAGTATGCGTTACTTCGAGCTATGGGCATGCCAATGAATGCGCGTGGTCGTTCAAAAGGCGGAGATCGACATTGCCACGTCTGAAGATTATCCGGGGGCAAAGCAATAAGTCGTCATTTGATTCTTTTAAGCGATGACGTACGCAATTGTATTGCCAAGCTCTTTGATTCGTAGCTCTCTTCGACACGATCGTCCGGCTTCCTCCTGAACAGAAGAAAGTAAACCAGTCGGAATAAAATTTGTTTCATGCCGCTGGAATGTCCCGTTGCCGTCCTTATCTGCATTAACGCTAACTCCAACTCCCAGCGTAGCAGCCTGCCACGGCCACAAGGATCTACTCTACTGTACACTTCCAAATGTGACCATCGAGCTGAATTAGGTACGCGCCGATGTTGACACGAAATTTAGACCTGGATGCATGCATACGCTCGAACTGCTTATTACGTGAATTGCCATGGTAAACTTTCCGAGTTGTTGGGAATGGCGCGAGCTGCTTGTGAGTTTATCTGACGTGACGCTGCCAAGTCAATTCTAGTCCAGGTAAGAAAATCTAAGCTCATATGCGTTGTCTGCGGATAGACAAGACAAAAATGTGCCCAACTGCGAAGTATAAGTGCGATAATTTCATTCTGGAGGTTGTCACCCGTCTGAGGCGCGAAGCTTTCGATTCCTGACTGATACTGCAAGCTACGTGTAGTGTTCGTGAAAAGAGAGAGAGAAACTCTATAAACATATAAGAGCCATCGGAAGATTTTTTTTTTCTTTTTTGCGTTAAACGGAGTCGTGAACCTTCTCTACTTCTAACTAGCCATACACCAACAGTGTATTTCAAAATAACTCATCTTGTTATAAACATGTGATGCCTTTCTTTCCAGGAAATGTCAGTGAAAAATCAAGAAGTGACTGGTATCCTAGCAGCTACACCACAACGCTATGCGGAGGTGTCTTAGCGGTGCTGTTTTTTGTCATTGCTCGAGAAAAGCTGAACCTTTCCAAAATAAAGGTGATTGCGGGATACCTTTTCTCACAGTAATAAGCATCTCATTTATTACAGCTTGTCTGGAGGTTTTAAATGTTTACTTATCACTTTTTTCAGACACAGGATCCCTTCAAACAAAGGCATAGGAAACGTAATGGGAAGTCTGTCAAAGTCCTGTATGGCACTCAGACGGGAAATGCAAAGGTGTGTCATTAGTGGTGTCTGACGACAAATCAATTCCTGGCTGCATGCATTCTAGAGTGTCAAATGATCCTGACTAGAACAGAAAAAGCGAGAAAATCGCAGCATCATTCTCAGCCGCTCACTTTCTGGAGTGTTGCCTTCAGCCTAGAGCTCCCTCAATATACACTACAGCCATAGTGTCTATGGGAGCTGCAACACAAGGTGCTTCAGCGAGCATGGGAATTATGGGTAGTACACGGATATGTATAATCTTCGTACTTCTAACTCCATGTACGTGTGGCTTGGAGCTGTTTGCTCACGAAACAAACATCAGCAAATTCTTAGAGGTTGCGCTTCACCACCTTATTCTTTTAGGCTTACCATTCCAAATTTGGTCACGAAGCTCAAAAGGCTTCGTTCTTTTCTTCGAAACACAACCGAAACACTGCAATAAACAAAGCCAAAAGTGCAATTCACCGCCCGCAAGCACGAAGACTAGGCAAATCTGTGTACTACCCATCATTCCCATGGTTGGTGAACAATCGCAGCGCCAGAGTCCCCTCTAGTTAATTTTAGGAAACTCTATTACCTTCAGTAGACGTCAAGTGGCTTTGCTAGCCGGTAGAGCCATGCAATGCAAAACTGAAAGCGTGCCCTAATGTGGTTGGCTGAGAATGCACACGATCACAGATTCTACCTTTTTTGAAGTTTGGCTTGGTGTGAATCCTTTATATTTACTAACACAATAGCATCACCTAAATGCTCCATTTTAAATTACGTTTCTGTCTACATTTTTACGATCCGCTAGTGATTCTAAGCAGCTGAATTTGCAGGTGAGCAGTCATTTCTCGTTATAATAATGACTATAACATCAGACAAAATTGCCCAGGCAGTCGATTAGTAATTGCCTCTTCCAATTAATTGGCAGCCTTCCCTGTTATGTTTGATTTCAAGATTCACTCTGGCCCATGCTTGTATTTGCATGCACTTTGTCATAAATAGTTAAAGCATCTAAATGTTTTCGTAAATGAGAGACCAGAACCATTCATCATTACTTCTAAATCTAAGCTTCAGCTGCCTCTCTTTAGTTTATGTCAGCCTGTGTAGTGTAGCCGTTATGATGCTCGGCTGCTGACCCTAAGCCACGGGTTCGATCACGGCTGCGGTGGTCGCATTTTGATGGAGGTGAAATGCCAGAGGCCCCGTGTAGTTTGTGATGCCAGTGCACATTACAGAACACCAGATGGTTGAAATTTACGAATTTCCTCCTCTACAGAATCCCACATAATCATATCGAGGTTTTCGGACTTTAGACCCCATTATTAATTTATTATTATTATTATTATTATTATCATCATCATCATCATCTGTCTAGTTTAGGTAGTGGATTTTATCAGAAATGTGTTTTCACTTATGGGTGCAGATTCTGTCTGAAAAGCTCACAGCCGAGCTGGATGCACTGGACTACGATGTGGAGATGGTTAACTTGAAACATGTGCAGCCAGAGGAATGTCTTCTTGGTCAGGTAAGGCAACACCTTTTTTGTTTTATTTTTTATTTTTGAAGGTAGTAGCAGCAGGTCTTGTTAGTCGGGCTTGTTTCAGTTGCTGGAGATGGTTTTATTTCACATCGATTTATTGAAATGGATGTGCCTATTGTAAGTTATAACGAGTGCCTTCCTTTAGGTAAACCTAAAAACATATTAGCCCTTTAAGATTACGACACATATATACCCCAACAAAATGCGTATTTTAAACTTAAGCGTGCAAAAATACATTGAGAATGGACTTACTCAGTGAAAAGAATTGTCCTCCTTCCCCCCACTCGTTGCAATGCAACACTTGCTTTACACCCCCTCAGAAAAAATTCTGCTAACATTCATGACACTAGGGGGAAAAGAGCTTCACTCCAAGTCACATGTGGCTTTGTTTGAAACTTACAGGCACTTGAACTAAATTATATTAAAAAAACTGTAAGTGGAGGGCAACAAATTAGACAAATGACGCCCCTTTTTTTTTCGCACTTCAACATTGAGGTGCATGCTAACCCACACGTCCAACTGTCCCTGTTAGTTTTTACAGACACTTCTCATGAGATGTGTTCTACAGACATGCATTCCATTCATTTTACATTTCTCATGTGATAGCACTTTTGCTGGGGCTCTCACACCTGCATGTCTCCTGTGACTTTGCTTTAAAAAAAAATACATGGCATGTCAAATCGTTTTTTTCCTTCTGTATTACTGCTGTAATCCAACAGAGAAACCTCACTTGGTGTCTGTCATTCAATTTCGACTGAAGACATTTCTTCATGAACTCCTTAGTCCGGACTGAAGCTCAGCAAAAATAAGACTTTCACAAAATGGTCTAGTATGATTAGGGCATCTGTCGGTGTACTCATACAAGAACGTAGAGTAGCAAACTACAAAAGTTCCCTTTTTGAAACAGAAGAAATTTTTAGGAAGGCCTCATTCATATTGTAAACTCAGTCCAAATGTATCGTACAAGCAATTATGTCAGAGAATGCATAGATGTTAATTGTTTTTAGCTGTGGCATAAATTGGAATGAGTTGAAGTGGACGAAAAATTGCCATTGCGTCAGTAGATCCCACCGAAATGCCCAGCTGTGTTTCTTCTCTGACACATTGTTATTGCGTGTTATGTTAAAAATTTCAGGTGAAAGCAAAGGGTCTTTGCATCTTCATCGTGTCAACATACGTGGACGGCTCACCACCAGATGAAGCCACATGGTTCTATGATTGGCTGAAAGACACATACGCTGATTTTCGAGTGCAGAAGTGCTACCTCCAGGGTCTCAGCTATGCCATCTATGGCCTGGGTGACTCGGCCTATGGTGACTGTTACAACAAGGTACGCTTACAATAACCTCTTGTCGTTTAACATTGCTGTCTTTAAAATTTTGCTGCTTTGCTACATTCGAATGAAAGAGCTTCTACTATTTCTCGATGGTTGCAGTTTTGGTTGGGCCTCATTAATACATGTTTTGGTTGGTGCTAATTTAGCATTTTAGAAAGCATACATTTTTTATTGATCAGTAAAGTAGTGTAATGATTTCTTATTGAATTCATCCAAAATTATATTTTTCGTTTGTCTATTAATGCACTAATGGAGGCCGTGGCTGAACATAGCTAGGATTTAGCAGAGATGTCTGACTTGCTGAAGCGTGGTTATGGCTGAACTTTTCTCACTAATAATTACTTTTGCCATCTTTAGGTTGCCAAAGATATAGATTTCTGGCTGTCCAAGCTGCATGCAACTCCAGTGGTTCCCCTTTGTCTCAATGATGAAAGCCACGATGAAGGGAAATATGGTAAGAAAGCTGCTGAACTCGGGTGGCATATATCTAAGTAAAGTTTAAGTACTTGTTATGTAGGGTTATGTACAGAGGCAGTAGTAGACACATTATTCGAGGTCTGTTAGAGCCGACTTGTCATGGCTAATGTTGGCCGGAATAGCAATTGTTTACACTCTCTCTCTCTCTCTTACCTTTTCTCTACCTCACAGAAAGTCATGACTGAAAGCCATGCATGCTTTTCTCAGTTTAATTCACTCATGTCAAGTTGGGTTATACTACGAGAGCTCTGCCGCGACAGCTGTCTCATACCTTTTGATTCATGGTCTCATCGTGTGAAGGGTTAGCTCATTGATTGTCATGCCTTTGCATTTCTTCCAAATAGTGAGAACATAAGTGGCTTTAACATGTTCACTGCAGCGTGGGTCACCGGGGGGTCATGGGCTGTGCCTCTCCTATGCGGTATCGATGTTACAAGCATGCATCCGCTTGCTGATGCGATAACTTCGTCAAACATGAATTCAGAGGTACAATTCTAGTTGCAAGAGGGTATGAATAATCAGAAGGCATTTTTTTTTCTGGTGTTAGATGTCATGACCCTCCAGTGGGTCACTCTAGCACTTAAAACCATACCTCGAGAACGCTTGCTGCAGTGAACTTGTTGAAGGAGCACAAGCCACAAGTTTTTCTTGTGAAAAGCTCTAGAATATTGCTGCATTCTCATCTTGTCTCTGTCTCCCCCTCCTCCCCCCTTTTTTTTTCTTTTTTTTTAAATCTCAGGGACAGGCAAGTTTCCAGGCTGGAAAGACGAGGTTTTAGCATACCTGGAAGGAAGGCCATCCATCACCACCCAACCTCGTGAAGCTACAATTGTGGTGAGTTACGTTCAACATTATTGGAAATTGCTAAATTGCTACAAGTGCAGTTACACCCATCTGTCATCTTCGTAATTTATGAGAAGAGTTAAAGGCATCGTTAGTGGCCTTGTTGTCCGTAGTAGCAATCATGCACTTGCCATACAATTGCTTGTTTGCCATTTAGTACTATTGTGCTTCCCACTTCCGCATTTGCAAACAGCTGGACAAATGATAGTAAGCTTCGGAGCAACATTCTTCTTTAATGTATAAGTTTCTACCTAAAAAAAAAAAGATCCCAGATAGGTACATAGACAAGCGGTATGCGGAGAGCAGTTTGGCAGGTCATGAACTAAGGTGATCCTGTTTGCAGTAAGTTTCTTATGAAGTTACTTTGTTATATTATTAACTATAACTTCTTTCCCCTTCCTTTTTTTGCTAGATTATGAAAGAGATCTTGTAGGGGTGATCTTTTAGTATAGGGGCCCTAGACAACTCCCCTCTTTTGAGGATCTTTGTGTGCAGTTCTATATACAATGCGTGGCAGGCGATGAACTCGTCAAGTCTCCTTCTTTCGTGTTACTGCGTCATCATAACACTCACAAGGACATCAACATATTTATTATGTACTGCTAATGTCCATCGAATTATCATCATCCTTGATTGCCATCTCATAGTGTGACTCCCCTCCACCACCACCAACAAAAAAACTTAAAAGCTTGATTGGCACCAGATCGTACCAAAGCAGAGCAAGCGCCTGTTTACTTTATATGTGATAATTTGTAAAGGAGCTCCGAAGGAAACATGGGTTTCAGTTAGTACTATAAAACTTCCGGATTAACATCAGCCTTTTATTGTTTATTTGCTGTGTTGTGAAGTTGTAAATGATTTATTGATTGGTTCTTGGGCTATTTCAGCAGGACAATGTTGCTTACGAAAGCTCCAGTGATGAAGGTGAGCCTGAACTGATTGACCTAGAAGACCTTGGCAACGTCCGGAGTGCTAACAAGTCGAAGGTGAGTGCAGTTTGCTGCACGTTTAATTGTGGCATGTCGTTTGACACAGCTGTAGTTTTCAGCAATGCCATTTACCATCGCAGAGTTATGCAAAATGCCTCACATGCTTTCTTCTTATTTATATGCGTTAGGCTGATGTTTTACTGCTCCCTTTCAGGTCAGCCTTGTTCAGCGTGCAGAGTGCACACATATATGTCTACGCGTGTACTTTTAGAATGGGTGTTAAGGACATTATAGGTGACACCAAGAAGAAAAAATGTTCATGTGCAGGGCACATAGCGCGAAAGCAAGGTAACTGCTGGTAATTAGGGATCACTAAATGGATTTCAAGAGAAGGCAAGCAGGTCAAGGGGAGACAGAAAGTTTGGTGGGCAGATGAGATTGGGAAGATCGCGGGTATGAAGTGGCAGCAGCAAGCACAGGACCAAGTTGACTGGCGGAACATAGGAGAGGCCTTTGTCCTGCAGTGGGCGTAGCCAGACTGATGATGATGACAATGTACTTCTGGTCCTGTTTTTGTTTTAGTGACAGTGTATGCGGTGAAAACATGGGATTTTGGCATGACCTATCATGTTCATCTTAGCAATTTTGCGCAAGAACAGGAAACAAGGAGAAGCTACGCAAGAGTTGTTAGATTGTGGTTGTCTTTGTGTTGCTTCTCTTTGTCCCCGGGCTTTTGCACGAAATCACTGAGATGAATATTTTCCAATGGACCCAGCCCGCAGCATTCCATTATGTTTAGCGTAACACTGCAAAAAGCTGAAGTCCTTGCACGATCTGCTTGAAGAGAAAAATACATTTCAGTGCCAGCTCTACATGTTTGACCCAAAGGCCTTGTTGATACTTTTTTTAGTGCACTTTTCTGCTTTAAAGTGTAGCAGTTTGCTCAGCCTACAGGGGCTGTTGAATCAATTCTAACAGAATGACATTGTTCTCTCTCTCTATGTCTTTTTTTTTCCCACTCAGGAATAGTGATGTTATTTCCAGTTTTGCTGCTTCATTCTTTGTTATTACAACAGCATGGCATATGGTGGAGGTGATTCTGTGTTAGTTTACCAGACACCCTTGAAAAGCCATGATCCAAGCTCGAACCATGCTTAAAGCACCATCAACGAATCCTTCATAGGCTTGTGCAAATATTCGAGCACTTCAAATATTAGAAAAAAGATCACAGTATTTGAATTCTCTTTGAAATTATTGGAAATTTGGAAGTATTCGAAATGAATGTATACTATATGCATGTTCGCATGGGACTGCCGCTTTAAAGCCGGTTTTTCTGCAGTGGACAGGTGCTATACCGTGAGTACATCTATCCAGGAGTAATCTACACTGCCACGAAGCGTCGCTTCAAGGTTAAATGAACATATTATCTTTACATTGATTCTTTTGCTTTTATGTTTAAAAGCTTGTTGTCATACCAGCTTATATGCCTTAAGCATAATAATAATTTTAAAATGTTATATATTTTACAGAAAGTGAAATCCTGCTAGCACTATTCAAAGCTGCTCCGACTTCCTTTGCACATGCCTTTTTTCAATTAAAAAAAAATATATTGTGCAGGTTAGTTGTGTCATAGCTCATGACAAATGTGCTCGTGTTTCTTTATAGTACGCTATAATACTATTCTAAGTTGATTCGACATTATTTGGCCAAATCACTATTTGCACAAGTCTAATCCTTCAAGCCAGCGAGCGGTATGCTACAAGGGTTGCCATTGGAACACAGATTACTACCCGAGAAGACAGCCAGTACCATGTGTCCACATCAGCAGCTGCAGTGACAACCCCAGTGCAATCGCACAGCAGCAACCAAAGGAGCTACCCAGCACCTCCACCAAATTTTGTGTAGTGATAGTAAAGAATGCAGCAGTCAAACCATTAAAGAGTTATCTTATTAGTGCACTTGTGTCTAGCTAAAAAAGACTCATTGTAAAATAGCAGTGAGTGGTATTGTCAGCAGTTGGGAGTGTAGATTTAGTGTAGCTCTGGCAGTAAAGAAAGTGAATTCGACCATTCACCTTCTTGCATAAACTCGCGGAATGAGGCCCGCGTAACTGCCAAGCCCTCTGGGGATCGCAGGAGTCCAAGACCGTGCAGAACAGCGAGGCTCGACCGGACATGCTGACGCCTCTGCTGCGTCAGTCTCTGGGAAAGCAGGGCTACCGCCTCATTGGCTCCCACTCTGGGGTGAAGCTATGCCGCTGGACCAAGGCCATGCTTCGTGGTCGAGGTGGCTGCTACAAGCACACCTTCTACGGCATCGAGTCGCACCGCTGCATGGAGGCCACCCCAAGCCTTGCCTGTGCCAACAAGTGCGTCTTCTGCTGGAGGTAACGCGTCCACTGTCAGCTTTCTCACATCCTGATACTTGTGCGCTGAAGCCCTGGTTAAACTTATCATAGTTTGGGGTGTCGCATTTCTTTCTTTCTTTTCTTTCTCTTTTTCTCCATTTTCTTTTGGTGTGTGAGAACAATATTTTGTTGGGCATCTTCAGCAGAATATGGTGGCACTAATTTCTGGTAGAACTCGGTGGGAATCGAGCAAAGACTTTTTTTTAGTGAGGCACTGCAGACGGCCCAGTCATGTAGGCAAGGTAACACAGGTACATGGTGGGTGAATGAACATAAAAATTCCAGGACGTTATTCTCATCCTTTAGTGTGCTTACATTAATTTTGTGGGAATGTTAACCCTCCAGTTGAATTTTCAGCATGTAAAAGCCACCAACTATTATAATTTGCTAAATTTCCATGTATCTGTGAGTTATACAGCAAGCTTCTTTTTTTTTACCCCCCCCCCCCTTTTGTGTGACATTCAGTGCAGCCACTAAGTTTGAATGGGGCTGTGTTGCTCAGTACAAGATTATGGGTTTAATAGCAAGCTGTTGAGATGGCATTTTTATGAAGGCCAATTGTGTACCGAAGGCTTGAGTCCTTAGATCTACACGCATAGCTCGATAACCACATGTAATTAAACTATACAAACATGCAGAGTTGTGTTAGCAGTGGTCGACCTCAACCCCTGAGCCTTTGTAGTGAGCAACACTTACTAGATTGCTCAAGCAATTGCACAGTTGAGTGCGTTTTGCAGACCTGTATATAAGTCACACCTTGCAATGCATTTCAGGCACCACACGAATCCTGTAGGAACTGAGTGGAAGTGGAACATGGACTCGCCTGAAATGATTGTGGATAACGCACTGAAAAACCACTACAAGATGATAAAGGAGTTCAAAGGTAATTTGTGCTTCTTGTGTGATTATTTCACCGCAAAGTGAACTGACTGATAGTAGAGGATTACAGAATGCTGCTTCAGAAGGAGCTACTTAAACAGCGTTTTCTTTCGCAGCTGTTTATGATTCTTGAGGTCCAACTGCTTGATACTTTTTCACCACACAAAAAGGCTAATTTCTGAGGCTGTAAACGCAGAAGAGAGCCCGTGCGAAATTTGCAAGAACAAATATCTTTGACACTGAAACAAAAAGAAAGAGTCACTGTTACTGCTTGTCAGAACCGACACATGATCTCTGAGATAAAGAGCAACTGAAACATTTGAGATCTATGGATCAATGTGATAGAGACAACCATCTGGTGTACGCATATACTTCGATGTTGTTTTAAGACTAACAAGAAAACCACACTATTGATAGCCATGTGGACTTGCAAAAGTAGCTTTGATAGTATGGGTATCTATAAATATATACTACTAATTCATAATGAATCTAATTCAAGCAAGTTCTGGTTCCTTTTGGTGCTGAATTTTCGTGAATTGATTTCAGGTGTTCCGGGCGTGCTACGGGAGCGTCTGGAAGAGGGCCTGCGAGCGCGCCACTGTGCCCTTTCTCTGGTGGGGGAACCCATCATGTACCCAGAGATCAGCCAGTTGGTGCGCCTCCTGCACGACCAGGGCATCTCCACGTTCCTGGTGACCAATGCCCAGTTCCCCGAGGCCCTGCGGGAACTTGGTCCTGTCACACAGCTCTACGTGTCAGTGGATGCCAGCAGCCGTGAGGCACTCAAACGCATAGACCGACCCCTCTTTCCGGACTTCTGGCAACGCTTCCAGGACAGCCTCTCTACGCTCGCTGACAAGGTTAGACAGCTCGCACTGACTGGCGCTGATCTTTGAGTGGTAGAAATGTTATAAAATTTTGATAGAAGTTGCCAGTCTAGAAATGCAGTGACAGTACGTTATTGCCCATCTTGAAGGTGGCTGGTGTAAATGCAGACTCCAATTGCATTTGTTCATTCCTGTGATGCCACGACCGAGGCAAATTTTCCTGCGAGTTCAGTTACACTAAAAGAAACCATGGCTAAGGTGCACTATTTTCATTATTGGACATGCAAAACTGATCAGCACTCGCCTCTATTCTTCATAAATTCTGAAAAATCGTTTGTGTGAAATTTAAGGCATCCACTGCCAGTACAATAAAGCTGTGATAGTAAATTAATCGTAGCAGACCTACATGAGTCTGTCTCAAGGGAGCAGCAATTACTGTGCTCGTCTGCTGACCCAAAGGTTGCAGGTTCGATCACTGCCATGGTGGTCGCATTTTGACAAAGGCGAAATGTTTGAGGCCCGTGCATTCCACTTAGGTGCCTGTTATAATCATATTGTGGTTTCGGTATGTCAAACTAGAGATACAGTTGAACCCCTTGTAAGAGACATGCTCTGGGCAGCAATTCTGGTCTTTTATATGAGATGTCTCTTATAAACAGGGTACCTCGTATGCATTCTCCGGTTAACCCCATTTTTTAGTAGGCCCACTGGTGTCTCTTATACCCATTTGTCTTTTATATCAGTGTCCCTCATAAAGGGGTTCGACTGTAATATTATCATACCAATATTATCTCGCATTTCAGTGTTGTGATTATACATGTTACTGTTGTGACTGTTACATGCGAGTAACACCGAGTAACGGTTCAAGACAGGCACAAATGAATGCCTATTAAATTCAGTTTCTTTTTGAGAAATGTGTTCCTCTTGTGCACCTTTTCTGTGTGTTGTGAAGAGGTAACAAAGACATAAAGAAGTTTATTTTAGGTTTTTTGTGGGCAAGATTGGGAGTATCGAATTGGCAGTTACTATCGGGAAGTATTCCTTGTACATAAAGAGATTCTTCTATATAACTAAGTTCAACTGTGTTGGCATTTCTTGGGCAACATTTCAGTGTGGGGACGCGTGTGCATCTTTTGGTCAGAGCTTGCCTTGCACTCAATACTTTAGTTGTCACTAGGTGTGTCAGTGAAGCCAGTGAATATTGAAATTTAATGAGATTAGTGTCTTGCATATTTAACACAACATCTGTTTCTTTAAAATAATAAAAAAAATGCTTTTTCTTGTTCAAGTTCTATCAGATGATAATTTTTAGTTTTTAGTCTGCATTCCCACAAAAAAAAACACATTCCACATGCTTTGTCTGTCTATTTGGAAGTGTATTACTGACAACTTCTATTTTATGTGTGCCTGTCTATGATAATAGTGAGGTGTTTAAGAATGAAGAAATGTGTTTGCTATCTTGACTTGTTAGCTTCCCTGGACAACTGATGCAGATACAGCCTATGAGTACCTGTAAGTAGTACGAAACATGAAGGGACCAGGGTTAATTCCATTTAACAGGAGTTCTGTTTATTGAGAGAGTTGCAGGATCTAAGTACGAAACTAGTAGTATTAGTGACAGTTGTTCTGTTTAGGCAGCAGCTCCATTTAAGAGATCTAGTTTGCTGAGAGTTCACTGTACTTTTAAGAAGGTGACTATGTTTTTCATCTCTTGCTTCTAGGGCCAGAGGACAGTTTATAGGCTCACACTGGTGAAAGAGTGGAACATGGATGAAATGCAAGGCTATGCCAACCTTGTGGCACTTGGCAAGCCGGATTTCATTGAAGTCAAGGTATTGTGGGCTCGCTCCTACCTTTTTTTCTGTCCTCTTCTACGTGTTGATTGTTTTTTCTTGGTTATCATAAAGGGATTATCCTCCAGTTGCACAGAAACATGGTCATCGGTGACACTTCATAAACAGCAGCCAAAAAGTTAACTATTGGGTCTGCATTTTGCATCCTTTCTGTTTCATGTTTTATCACCAATTGAATTAAATGACTGCAGAGCCACAGTATTGTGTGGCATAAACAAAAGTCGCATAAAATTGTCACGTTGTATCGGACCTAGTGATTTTAACAATGCACCAGCCATCAGTAATGCCATCACAATCACTTTGTGTAGGTGTCTTTTTGCTTAGCAATCCCAAGACTGATGAATGGGCGGCTTGCATCTTTCGTGTGTGAGAACCGTGGCCAGGATGCCATAAGAGCACGGCATGAGCTCACCAAGTGCTGTTTTACAGCTCCGTAACGCTTATGAGAATGCGGTGTTGGTATGCGCAGGGTGTGACATACTGCGGCGATTCCAAAGGTGCCCGCCTAACCATGAGCAATGTACCGTGGCACGAGGAAGTGCTGTCCTTTGTCGAGCAGCTGGTGGCTTTGCTTCCCGACTACAGCATTGCCTCTGAGCACGAGCACTCCAACTGCGCGCTCATTGCGCACAATAAGGTGAGTGGGCACATGTTGATCTGAGAATTAAGATGCCGCGTTCCTCTTTGCACTCAATTTGCCTAGGCTTTCTGATTTGCCTCAATACATGTTATTGAAATTTTGCTAGACAGCAACCGGCTAAGCCAAATAAGCATAATTTAATTATCGTTTCTAGTGCTGGCATGAAACGACAGTGTGTCAGCAGTAACACCTCTGAAACTGGCCCTGTTACTGAAGTCTATAATCCAGCTCCAACAGATTCTGCAGCGATGTTTGAGGTGACACCGTGCCCCACATGTGGCGTGCTGCAGATCAACCTTGTGATACCCAAGACGTAAGACGGCGGAGCGTAATCCAAGATAACATCTACACTCACATCTCATCATAACAAGGTTGCATGTTACAAGAAAATAAGCTCGTTATATCCAAAAATTCGTTTAAAAAGTTTATAAGGTTATTCTTAATAGTATATTTATTGCAAGGATATTTTTCATTTGCTTCCTTGAATAAGCGATATCTCATTATATCCATGTTTTTATATGGAGGTTTGAGTGTACTTTTATAAAATGTTATATCTGCTGTGAAAGAGAAGGAAGATATTTGTTTTGGTCCTTGTTTCCTCCTTAATTTGTAGAACTGAAGTTCTAAGGGGGAGGCTTTTGCTGCATGGAAGTGACTTGACCCCCTTAATTGTTTTAGACAAGCATAGCTTGTCCTTGTCGAACCGTGTTCAAACATTTTTTGACAAGTGTATGCTTGTCTCCTTGAGATAATATCTCTCCATGAGCATTCTCAATGAGACTAGCTCGTTTCGAGCTACTTTGTGAGACCCTTCAGATGTGGCAGCACTTGCTTGGACATTTTCTTTAATTTTCTCTGCCATTTCACGTTTAATCACAAGTTGTGTTGAAAAAGTTTGGTCCAGTGAAGGTAACTTGTGCGTTGCTCATGCATTATTGCAAAAAAAAAGCTTTTCATTATTGCACAGCCCTTCAGTCGCTAATAACTCAGATACAAAAGTTTGATGACCTGACATGTTATATTAGCCGATTTCTCGACAATGTCATTATTTCGCTAATCATGAAATACAACAGGCCATGGGACAATAAACTTTTTAAGGGGAGATGCTACTCAAAAAACACAAGTTTTTTTTACAAAATTGTCACGACTTCGTTCATCCATCGAATTCATCAACTGCGTGCTTGTTGGTGAACCGCTGCTGCTGCTGCGCTGGCCTGTGCTTATACAAATCATGCTGGTATGGACCCTGTGTTACGGGAAGCAGCAGCTGATTCTCAAGTGCGTGCATGCATGCAGGTGACACAACGAACAGCAATAAGCAGCGCGGACAGCTGCTTGCAGACTAACCGGAAGTCGTAGACTATTGCTAAACCAATCATAGCATCAATGTGCTGTGTGTCGGAGATTCAAGTTGTTGCCTTCAAGCGGAGGCCCAAAAGGCCCGGAAAGGAGGAGGAATTGTTTCTTCGAATGCGTGGCGTGGTGCGCCAGTGGCTCGTAGCGCTGCCACATACGGAATCGTTGATCACGAGGGCATTCCGGTCACAACGCACTTGTTAACTTGAAACTTTTGAAAAAATATCAGAGCTGGTCTAGAGGCCCTTTAAATTTCGGGCCAGAACTACTGCTCTTGTGTGTCAATGCAGCATTTTTTTCCTAGAACGAAGGTTCAAAATTATAGCTAGCTTTTTTATGTGAATCATCATGATACTTGACCATTTTTTTCCTAATTTCCAAGTGGGCCTGTTTGCATTGCTTATTTGCCTAAATATTTCTCAGATTGGTTGTTTTTCAGGATGGAGTAAAAACTAAGCTTGGCTGTGCTCTCTAAGCACATGGTTTCGTTGTGACAGCCATGGCAACATTTTGTGTTTGAGGCACAGCCTGCGTACTCATTGCAGTATACAAGTCAGACCACCATTAGCCTAGAAAACTGCCTTTCTGAAAAGACAGCTTGACAATTAGGTTAAAAAGCAATGTTGCCAGCTCTATTTTGTGAGCAGTGTCCAAACGGCAAACCTGATGGCCCTCCTTGTCACGCTCACCCTCACACATCTGGGCATGTCTTTCATAGTTCACCCTTTCCACTTAGCCTCACCATGAGTCATTGTTGCATGCCTCTCATTGGTTCGCCTTTCTGCCAAGCCTCGCTCTTGCTTATAGTGTCACAGTGCAACCCTTTCTTTCCCTACCAAGTCCCATTCTTGCCACACTTCTAGGCCACGGGATCAGTGCTACACCATGAACAAATGAAGAAGCCTCAACAACTTTGCTGTTAAAAGTATTCGCAAATTGACACTTCCACTAATTAATCAACAATGGCAGCAGAAAATGAAATCCTGAGCGTAACCGAAAATGTCACAGCCATCTTAACTGTTCTGTTTATTACTTCATTGCAGTTCCGTTTCGACGGGCAGTGGAACACGTGGATTGATTATGAGCGCTTCCATGAACTGGTGCAGAGGTTCTACCAGACAGGGGAATCGTTCACTTCTCTGGATTACGCGGCACCTCTCCCACACTGGGCAGTGTTTGGGGCCAAAGAGCGTGGCTTTGACCCCAGCGACACGAGGATGCTGAGGAGATCCAAGAAGGACATTAGTGGGTGCTAGCTATAAGCTGTGCTAGCGTTAACCCTAAGCCAATTAAATGCTAGGCTTAAGCAAAGTATGGTGGATGCCAGGCTCTGCAGCTCGCAGAAGGCTGCAGCAGTTGAGCCCTGTGTGGTGCATAGCACATCTTGAAATCAAAAATATTACGGGCAGCACCACTGAAAGGGCACCGAGGAAAAACATCTCAAGCTTGAAAACACCCTTTGTACAGTGTCTCAGCAAAGTGCCTAAAGAAGAAGGGGCAAGCTTGTGATTAGAAGTCGGTTGCTCCACATGTTGTATCATATGCATGTCAAATGACACCGCACAATTAAAACTGTGTTGCGAGTTGCAGCATGTGGTAAGGTGACTTTGTAGAGCTGTGTTCTTAATGATCCTGACTTCATTTTTATGACTCTTTATTTTTCTTTTGTGTGGTTTGGGCAGATGTCAGCGACAAAGATTCATGTTTGTCATGATGAACTGGACTGAAAGAAGCTCAGTACTCCAGCTTACCGCATTGTACTTAGTGCCAATGTGATGAGTGAGATGGCAATAGCTTTTATCTGCAGCTTCCACTGTTGGATCCTGCTTTGTGGAAAAGCTGTTGCATGTATTAAGTACATGTGTGTGTGTGTAGTTTTCATCACTTGCTACAAGCAGGTTTCTGTGTGTGACCATGTGTAAAGATTTGCATGCTTGCTGTGTAGCACTACTGCAGGCCATGATGCAGATTGTAGAGCTCAGATATTGTTTCCTTCTGTTGGATTCCTTCTTTTTCCTATCATTCACAATTCATAACCAGACGATTGTGCCTGACAAGAGTTTCATTTGATTCACCAGCGTCACTGCGAAGCAGCCCCTTACCAGGCACAAGAGATTGAGAATTTTTCCTACAAATGTCACGCCAGCAGTGCGGTGCACACGACACTCGGACCGAATGGCTCAGGTGCACGCGTGTTGCAAGCTTTCTGTTTGTCCATCCAATGTGTACGCATAAGTTGTTCGTGATTTGTTCGCACAAGTCCACATAAGTTGTTTATAATGTGTCCGCACAAGTCCACCTAATTTGTCCGTGTAAGTTTGTTCGCCTAATGTGTCCGCATAAGTTTGAATGGCCTCGAGTTGCAGGTACATGGTAAAGCTTCCGAGGCACCTTGTAGAACATCATCAATGTATTAAACACATATACAGGTTGTGCGTTACTGGCTACACAACAGCTGTTAACACTGTTGGCAACCAGACAATGCATCTCACTCATAGAACACATCTGACCATCTCCTGCATCCTCACAAACATTCTTTTTTTCTATTTTATTTTTCAGTTTTAGACGACAATAAAAGTGCACAAAAAACACCAGCACCTTCCTATTTTCCGAGCTAACTGTTTAATCCAAAGCGGCATTGATCCAATCACTGCTAGCACTGCATAGCTGAATTGAGGGCTGAAGCAAATGCACGTGACACTGATACACAATGTGCTAGATACATTGCTAGGTGCAGCCTTGTGAACCTTTTGAATTTGTTGATTTACTCCGTGTGAATCGAAGAGACTTATGACGATGCTATTCGGATATCTATGAAGTATGCAAAAAAGAAAGAAGATTGCAAGGAGAATCAATTCACATTACCTAGCCTAAGCCCCCTTGCAGTTCTTTAGCAAGTACAGCAACTTGTATTATATTTATTTTTTTTTTGTCAATCACTCCGTATGTTCAAACTGTTGGCCGGTCTTTCATTGCACACTCTCTCATTTTGCTTGTATTGGCAACTGTTGTATCAACACAAGTTCATTGTACAGCCACATTGGTGCAACTGCTGTGTTGAAAGGAAGTCTGTGGTGCTCAAGTGCAAGTGAAAAAAAGGAAAAAGAAAAGCTTATTCAGGTGTAGGCAACCAGCAAATGATTTTCAAAGTGCTAAACCTGAGCCAATTAAGTGCTAATGCAAGTGCATAATATAGTGTAGTGCACAATATAATGTAATGTGTTGAAGTCATTTTTGAGGTGTTAGTGTCGTACGCATAGCCTCCAGGCTCCGTGTTGCTTTAGGGCATTTCGCATCAACTAAATATTGTTAGAGCAACAAATTTTCCTTCATAGGTCTTGACTGAAAGTGTATGCAGTCCATCCAATGGTCTTGCATGTGCAAATAATAATATTGTTTTTTTACCATTTTCTGATTATGAAAAGATTATAGAAATGAACTGCATAATTTGAATAGTATGTACAGAATGAATTTGTGCATTTTATCAGCTGACATTTAGATGGTATTCTCAATCTTCAATGGCTATTTTGACAACACTGTTTAGGTGTGTCAAGTCGCTCTACACAACGCATTATCTTTTTTAAGTGCTCTCACAGACACAACCAATTACCTTTTGCTTGTGTTTGTCTATTTCGTTTTTCTTTTCTGTTTTTATATTCTATCCTTTTTGTCATAATTGAACTGGAGCATTATTTTGTTGCTTGCCAAAGAAGGTTGATCTGTTTTTAACGAAGGCCAATTATGTATTTCGGGATTGTAAGCCATGTTTATATTTACATAATTGAATTTGTATAAGGCTAATTGTGGCAACATTATTCAATTGCTGCATTCTTTTTACGCACACCTTCTTAGTTTTTTCATTGTACAGCTGGCACTAGAATTATATGTGAAACAGCTCTAAATCTTGGAGATCTAGAAAAGGGCAATTTCCATTGCCACCAAAGATGTTAAGCTTGTGATTTTTTTTCTTTTCATTGGATGTATTCATACTGTGATTTCATTGACCTCTTTTGCGTAACATAAACAAGATCGTTCATGCTTTATGGACTGAACTGAGACCCGAATTCATTGTTTTATTGCAATTTGTTGTCAACTGTTGCTAGATGCAACTGTGCTCTGATGTGAAATTATCACATAAAGTGATTCTTCCACAAGAATGCAAGTCATTACTGTCTTATTTTTTATGTGGTGTATCTTCAAGTTACTCACCTTGAAGTGTATTTTGAGAAGGATGAGAACATATTTGAATTGGTTGTTAACAGCTTATTCATTGTTCACAGCTGAATGAAGGACGCGACCAATGATCTGCAATCTACCTTGTGTTTCGTGAGCTAATTTGAAGTCTGAAGGGGTGTTGACCCACCCTTTGGGCCTGATGACAAAATGCATCCTGCAGCTAGCAGCTAAATCCTGGCATATATTAGTCATTCACAGCAAAGAGAGTTCACACTGCTGATCCCAGTAGTGTCTTCATATGTGCAACAATGTGAGCACCACCTGCAATCTACTTTGTTTATGCATTCTCAAAAAGAAAGAAAAAAAGATGTCAAAGTCCAGTGCAGCTGTGTGACCAAATGCAAAAACTCGAGGATACAATTTGTTTTCACATGGGCATCAAACACTTCAATGACATTCAATTTTTTTCTCAGATTCACTTTTTGACGTACTACACCCAAACCTCATTATAACGAAGCTTGCATCTTACAAAAAAGCAAGTTTGTTATATCCGAAAATTTGTTATGAAGGTTATTCCTCACACTGTATCTGTTACAAACCTATTTTTCATTTACTTCGTTATAATCAATATTTCGTTATATCCATGTTATATTGAGGTTTGAGTGTAGTACTAGTCTGCAGATAGACAAGACCTCAATTTTACAAGCTGTGTGCTACTTTGACACTGTTTCTGCGAGAGTTTGTGTGTGTTATGTAGTGGTCAGAGCAGCAGAGAAGCACTCAGGTCTGGGCCATGGGCTGTGTGCCTGGCGCGTGCTGCCAGCATCCTGCTTCTGGCCCGATGGAACGACGCCAGCACAGCCGTGATGCTCGACTCGCTCACCTGCCTGTCTGCATCGCACACAGAAGAAAGCAAGGTTTCATGTTAGTTTTTTAGCCAATTTTGATGAATCTTTCAGTTTATGTGCAACGTTGTGAGGATTTCAAGTATGTTTTTATTTTTCTATTACAGTAAGTAGTTTGGATTTTTTAAGACATCAAATATTTCAGATGCCTTCTCAAGAGCATTATTTTAAACTGAGGCATTACATTGTGAATCAACATATCACAATAATCTGCAATGAAAACTGCATGCAGTACAATAAGAATGGGTGCATTAAGTCTATTTAAACAACTATTGCAGTATGTTGAACATTAGTGAAGAAAATGTCAGCTTTACAACGGCTCACTCGTAAGTGTTCAACATGTGGTAACTTTTGTTCGAATGTGCTAAGAACATTCGTTCTTCCTCTACTGCATGGAGTTCTTATTCAATATTACTGTGATGAGCTGATCTACCTTTTAACAGACTCAATATAAGAAAAAGATTGTTCCCAAAAGGCACTCAAAATGATATTTTAAAAACTACATGCTTTACAATGAAAGTTAATCGTATATTCGCAATAAGTGCACGAAGGCACACACTCAGCAAATTTGTCAAAATTGATGAAGAATATTTTTTTTTCATTTAAGAGCAGTGTCCCCTTTGAAGGCCAAAGTCCTGTTAAAAGCTACGACCACCAAATATAGCACCTCTTTGGTTGTGTAGGTCTGTTGCACTAGCAGCAATTAACCCGAACTCATGATTTGACTGCGTGACATAACCCCGAGTAAGGGAGGGTGGTGCTTATGTTCCTGGGAATGCAGGAATTACAGCGTCAACTAAGTTTGCATCGCAAGTTTTAAGGCAATGTTAGTAGTAACGGCATCAAAGATGTACACATTCTCTGATCTGCTGCAATAGTGTGGTCACAGCTGCAGCACGTTTTGAGGGCTGCCGGACACGAATCACTTGTGTGTAGATAAAAACTGTTTCTGTTTTTTTATTTTCACTGCCACTGCTGGCCCAGAGGTCGCAGGATCGAATACATGCTGCGGTGGTCGCATTTTTGATGGAGGCGTGAATGTTTTGGGCCCATGTACTCGGATAAAGCCCACGTTAAAGAAACCCAGGTGGTCAAAATTTTCGGAGTCCTACTTATACAGCATCTCATAAATATATCACGGTTACGGGATGCTAAACCCCTGCAATTATTATGTAGAGTACCACCCCTTTCTTATCTTCTTTTTATATAAACATGTTTCGCTGCATTTTTCAAGTTTCTCGTTATAGTAGAAAAGCTTGTGTTCAGAAAAAAAAAACTAGAGAACGCTCGAGGTTCGCCATTTAGGGCGCTCGAGGTTCGCCACAAGAGTGGGAAAGGGCTGAGAAAACGGTTCCTAGTAATACGTCAACAGGCCCAGATGGCATTCCGATTATGCTGATAAAGACATTAGGTCGGAAGTCTAAGCAGGCTTTGAGAGAGGCAGTGAGCAAAATAATAATCGATGGAGAAGTTCCCGATGGATGGAAACTTAGCAGGATGAGCATGATCTATAAGGAAAGGAAGACAAAGCTGACATAGACGAATACCGTCCTATAACAGTGACATCACTGGTCTACAGGCTGGCGATGCAGATCATAAAGGAAAGACTGCAGGCATGGATAGAGGATGAGGGGGTGCTGGGGGAACTGCAGAATGGGTTTCGGAAACAAAGGAGGTTGAAAGACAATCTGTTCTTACTGACGCAGTGCATCGAAATAGCAGAAAAGGAACACAGGCCCCTGTGGCTAGCATTTTTGGATATCAAGGGAGCGTACAATATCGTGGTTCAAGAGGAATTGTGGGGAATACTGGACACACTACGCGTGAAAGATGTAGTCACTAATCTTTTAAAGCATATTTATAAAGGTAACAAGGTAGTTATAAAGTGGGAAAAACAGGTATCCAAGCCGCAGAGGTAAAACAAGGGCTTAGGCTGGGGTATCCTCTGTCACCCTTGTTATTCATGGTGTACCTACAAGGATTAGAGGCCAAATTAGAGGGAAGTGGATTGGGCTTCAACCTCTCTTTCGTCAAACAAGGAAAACTCATTGAACAGGCACTACCAGCATTGATGTACGTAGATGATATAGTGCTAATGGCCGACAACAAGGAAGATTTGCAGAGATTGGTGGACATCTGCGGTAATGAGGGAAATAGGTTAGATTTTAGATTCAGTGAGGAAAAATCAGCAGTCATGATTTTTAACGACAATGAAGGTAATGAGCTTAGAATACAGGAGGTCACGCTAGAGATAACAGATAAATACAAATATCTGGTCGTATGGATAAGCAATGGGGACGAGTACCTAAGCGAACACGAAATATACATGTCGACTAAAGGTAACAGGAATGCAGCAGTGATGAAAAACAGGGCACTGTGGAATTACAATAGGTATGATGTTGTGAGAGGAATATGGAAAGGGGTCATGGTTCCTGGTCTGACGTTCGGCAATGCGGTCTTGTGCATGAGATCAGAAGTTTAAGCAAGATTAGAAATTAAGCAACGTAGAATAGGTAGGCTTGCCGTAGGAGCTCACGGGAGTACACCAAATCAGGGAGTACAAGGTGATATGGGATGGACATCATTTGAGGGCAGGGGAGCTAGCAGCAAGATAAAATTTGAGAAGCGGTTGAGAGAAATGGGGGAGGAGCGTTGGGCTAGGAAGGTATTCAGTTACTTGTACATGAAGAATGTCGATACAAAATGGAGGAAGCGAACCAGGAAATTGACTGGTAAATACTTAGAAAACAGCAGGTGGCCAAACCAAAAAGAACTATCGGTTAAGAAGAAAGTGAAGGAAACGGAGACTGACATGTGAAGGATGGGCATCATTAAGAAGTCCGCACTAGAGATCTATCGAACTTTTAAACAGGAAATTGCCAGGGAAAGGATCTATGATAATACTCGGGATAGTTCTCTACTGTTTGAGGCCAGGACGGGAGTATTGCGAACCAAGACATATCGGGCCAAATACGGTATGCAGTGCATGTGGAGAGGAAGAAGAAACTGCCGAACACTTGATAATTTTCTGTAAAGGGCTTCACCCTATAGTTCGGGATGATGGCGCAGAGTTTTTCAAAGCACTGGGGTTTAGGGACAGTGAGGGCAAAATAGACTTTAGGCGGGTAGAATTAACTAGAAGGAGGTTATCTGATTGGTGGCCCAAGTCAAGACACGAGTGAAAATTAAACCCTTCACTGCAAGGTACGAATCCTCAAACACACTATTTAAGGGAAAAAAATAAATCTAGTTTTTGGTTCATTAAGTATTACGGCTTGGTGGCGCTAGCCACCGCACGATCTAAAGGGTACAGCCATACCCACCCATCCATCCATCCATTAAAGTCCGTCGCCATAGCTTAATCGGGCCTCGTTGAGCATTGCCTTTTGAACTGCTTACCTGCTTTGAGTCTGTGTACATGCCTCAATTGCGCCGTAACGAAGCAAACCACTCCACGTGCAACGTTGGTCGTTTCACAGTATCGTTGAATGATTATTGCAAGCACGGTTGTTAAGTGTTCACTATGCCATGATTATTTTTTAGCAAATCAGTAACGGACCCACAACGTACCTGTAGAACACGTTAAGCTTCACAGCTTTCTTGATTGTTCTGCTGATGATGATGATCTTCACGTAAACAATGTTTATGGCGTTTTATTATTGGCCTAAATTTTAATACGGCAATGCGGGCTACAACTAGCCTCTGAACACTAGCTCACCATTTTTGTAAAGAAGGGGACAGAACAAAAGCTGCGAGCTTCTCTGGAGACACTCACCCGATCGACCCCAGAACTCGTCGTGCAATCTCGGCCTCCCTGGCTTTGAACCTAAATGCAGGGGTAGAGCAAAGAAAACGGCATTTTCATTGCTATGGTAGTTACGTGAACCCATTCGGCGAGTTATTGCCGTCGCCGTCATGTTCCGAATAACGTCGAAATGGATAACACTGCCGCGCGCGTATGTTCCACGTGGAAGTGGAAACGCGTGAGCGCTGCCGACAAACGCAGCTCAAGAAGAAATGAAAGCATGGAGTTTCCTAAAATTAACTAGAGGGGCGGCGATCGTTCAGCGACCATGGGAATGATGGGTAGTACACACATTTGCCTACTCTTCGTACTTGCGGGCGGCGAATCGTACTTGCGGCTTCGTTTATTGCCGTGTCTCGGTTTTGTTTTGAAAGAAGATTCAACCCTTTTTAACTTCTTGATCGGTTTTGGAAAGGTAAGTCTAAAAGAATAAGATGGTGAAGCGCAACCGCTGAACATTTGGAAATGTTTGGTTCGTGAGAAAACAGCTCCAAGCCACACGGAGCCAAAAGCAGGCCAGAAGTACGAATATTAGACAAATGTGTGTACTACCCATCATTCCCATGCTCGCTGAAGCGCCGCGCGTTGCAGCTCCCATAGATGCCGGCACTGCGCCGTGTCGCCTGTAGGCAGACAGACATTAGGTGCCTTCTTCCTTTCCCTTGCGAACCACTAACCGACCTTAGACACTGGCGCCAGAGTTTCCTCTAGTCTATATTAGGAAACTCTATGGATGAAAGAAGCCGACCGTCTTTCGTCACGTGAAAGGCGCGTGGAGAGCGAAGGGGACTGCGTGCCTCCGGCACGACATGCGTACTCTGACCGATTGGGCCTGGTCGCGCGCGCCGTATCTTTAGAGGCGGTCTGCAGAAGGCGCGTATACCTTTGTAACTGCTGTGTGCTCATCGCAACGTGCCAGCAAGAAGGTCGTTTCGATCGCGGCAGCGGCCGTGTTTTCGCAAGAGCGAAGCTCAGCTCCTAAACCACCTCTGAATATACGAAGGAGCGCGCTCCCCTGCTTTTCCCGTCATTGCAGCACAATTCGTGGCGCCAGCTTTTTGTTCACGTGACTTCATGATGAAATAAGCTCTTGATTAGTCGATAAACAATTAGGAGATATCTGTCGCTTACTGCAGCTTTTCCATGCATGCAGTCGCATGTTCGGTCTGCCTCGTCTCGCATGACTATCTTCCGCACTGATCGCACTTCGTGTTCTGCGTTTGGAACTGCGCAAGCGGAGCTACCAGCGTGTAGCCGAAAAGCTACAAGTCCTGACAATGCGACTGCGCAAACGGAGACAGCAGCGTGTAGGCAGAACGCTCGAAATTCTGTCCGGCTCATCGCTTATAGGGCTGACATTCAACGTGTTTCGGAAGAAATAAGTGGCGGAGGGGGGACGATTGCGCTTGTTTCCAGGAAAGGCAGTGAAGGAGAGAAAGAAACTACTGTTTCGCCTTCGAACTTAATGTGGTTTAGATCGGGGTAAAATGTCGGCCGTCTGCAAAAACCATTCGCGCCATTCCGCGCATGCGCCGGGGAGCGTACGCCGCCGCGCCAAGTTTGCCCGGCGGGGCGCGAGCTGAGCACGAGCGACGAAAGGCCTTCGCTTCTACCGGTGGTGCCACAGCACGTGAGTTGATTGATTGATATGTGGGGTTTAACGTCCCAAAACCACTATATGATTATGAGAGACGCCGTAGTGGAGGGCTTCGGAAATTTCGACCACCTGGGGTTCTTTAACGTGCACCCAAAAGCACGTGAGTTTCTGGCTTTGGAGTTCAGATATTTTTCGGAAAGAGTCTATGGCAAGCTGTGGTTCGACTCTACTCTGTCTACGCTATGGAAAGACCTATAGCATCAGTCACGAAAGCCACGTTTTGACCAGCTTCGCTTTGTAAACGTCATTTTTTTTTTTTTACGCAGCACTTTATTCGAATTACGCTAGCCCCGCCGCGGTGGTCTAGTGGCTAAGGTACTCGGCTGCTGACCCGCAGGGCCCGGGTTCGAATCCCGGCTGCGGCGGCTGCATTTCCGATGGAGGCGGAAAGGTTGTAGGCCCGTGTGCTCAGATTATGGGTGCACGTTAAAGAACCCCAGGCGGTCTAAATTTCCGGAGCCCTCCACTACGGCGTCTCTCATTATCATCAGTGGTTTTGGGACGTTTAACCCCACATATCAATCGAATTACGCTAGGTCTCATGCTGAAAGGGGTGATAAAAACGTTTCAGTTTGTTGTGATCGCATTGCACCCTTGCGGAGAAAGAAATTTTTTTTTTTTAAGTCATACTTTCAAGCCAAACTAATCCTCTTTCATGATGGCATCTCTTTGTGATGGACAGAAACTGAAGCCGTTTGTTGTCTAAGTAGCACAGATACAGCGGCACAGAGCGAGTGTTGTTCCTATATGACTATGCCTGGCGAGCATTTCTTCGAAATGGTTTCGACGCTTGTGTACAAACGCATGAAACCTGTCTCGTAAAGACCATTGGCGCCGCGTGAAATCGGGAACTTAACGCTACAGCTGCTCGCCGCGCCCCCCGCACCGAGCTTTCAGCTGCCCTTCACTTGGGGAAGTGACGACATTTACGCCCTTATAATAAGTTTTTAGCAAAGGTGAGCGAAGTCCACCAGGTGGCATATCTGTTTGCCCCTGTGACGTCTGTGTTGATTCCTTCTTTTTTTTTTTTTTCAACTTGAAACGTAAGTGGCAGGGTCCGAGGGGGCACGTGGTGGCACAGAGATCGAAGGAAGGGGGGTGGCCGATTTAATCGCCCTTAACTTCCTCCATACAATAAGGTATTTTGCTTACGTACGAACGGCTTACTCAGTTTGTGTAAGGTTAGTTGCGCTTACATAACTTCGAAGAGCCACATTCCAGCGACATCAGGAAATGTACGATCTTTGAATGTCAACCCAGAATGCACGGTGATTCGACCCGTATTGTGGAAGCTTGACATCATAATTATTCGCCGAAGAAACAGATAAAAGGTACGTGAACTTCCTTTTTCAGCGATTTCCTCAACTTTCTTCCCCCCTCCCTTTTTTTTTTTTTCAGGCGCGCGATTTGCTCATTGCGTGCGGCAAGATGATTTTGATTTGTGGGGTTTAACGTCCCAAAACCACTATTTGATTATGAGAGACGCCGTAGTGGAGGGCTCCGGAAATTTTGAGCACCTGGGGTTCTTTAACGTGCACCCAAATCTGAGTACACGGGCCTACAACATTTCCGCCTCCATCGGAAATGCAGCCGGGATTTAATCCCGCGACCTGCGGGTCAGCAGCCGAGTACCTTAGCCACTATAGAACGTGCGGCAAGATGATCAAAGTGGCTCGTAAACTAAAAAAGTTGCGTGACGTTTACATTGCCACATTGAATAAGCAGCGCCAAGAGAACAACGAAGAAAACGCGCAGAGAAAGAAGAAGACGAGGTTCTCTTCCGATCAGTTTGCCATGTGTCTGGTACAATTAAAGTGAGTTTCTGATGCGACTGCTGCGTTTCTGCATTGTGACACTGGTGGAGGCGCTGGGTACATGTTCGGACGCCTGGACAACAGCCACGCATCTGGTCAAGAAAGACCTTCCGCGCATCGACACCCCCGTTCACCGCAGCAGCCGGCGCCTGTTAGGCCTCAGCCCGGAGTTTGGTCCATTGCCGGAAAGCGTGACTGTGCCAGAAAGCATGACGGCGCCTGGAAGCACTGGCCCCAACATGTCCAGCCAAGCACGACACAGGTGACTGTTTTGAACCCTCGACTTTCCGGTTGACTTCCACCGGAAACGCATATGAGGATGCACATGACTGGCCGAGGAATTCGAGCACACAGCGAATGTTAACAATTGGAACACCAGACAGAAATTGGGCTACGTTTATTTTTCCGCTCAAGACGGAGCCCGAACGTGGTCACGAATCGCGTGTGGTCGTCTTGGGAACGAGTTTCCGGCAGAAGTTCCTCGACACGTTCGCGAGCACTGAAAGACGAGAAATCGCACAGCGTCTCCTCGAGTCACGGATTCAGAAACCAAATGAATCCGTTACGATGTTTGTTGAGGACATGGCGCGGCTATTTCGTCGAGCAGATCTCAATATGCCCGAAGCCAAAAAGGTTAGCCACCTCATGCGGGGCATGTAGGAGCAGCTGTTCGCTGGTCTCGTACGAAACCCGCCTACAAGTGTGGATGAATTCTCCAAGGAGGCGACATCTATCGAACGCGCACTGCATCTACGTTATCGTCAGTATGACCGCCCAACCCACAGTGCACCGATCAGCGCGGCAGCCACGACCACAGCGACAACACCTGACGAAGGTTCTTTGCGCCAACTAATACGAGAAATCGTACAAGAAGAGGTCAAGAAGCTCGTCGCAAAACCGAATGACTGCGCGATCGCCTCAGTAACGGAAGTTGTACGCCAGGAGATCAGGCAAGAGCTGTCGCTTCCTGAGCCAAACACGAGCACTCCCAGGGCAAGCTATGCAGACGTAGTCCGCCGACAGCCAGCGAACGTGCCGACACCACATCAGTACCACCAGCAACAACCGCCGACAGCGTCTTGGTACTACAAAGAAACTTCGACGCCGAGGCGGCCACCACTTCGCAAAACTGACATCTGGCGTACCCCTGACCATAGGCCACTGTGCTTTCACTGTGGGGAAGCAGGCCACATCGTTCGGTATTGCCCGTATCGCGCCGCAGGATACCAAGGGTTTCCTTCTACGGTTCCTCGGCGCCATTTCAACGGAACACCTGACGTCGACACGAGTGTCATGACCCCGTGGGATGTTCCTCCTGGGTTTCGGTCACGCTCACCCTCTCCTGTGCGTTATTCTCCATCCTCTAGACGGAGCACCACTGACATGCCAAGAGGGAGATCTCCTAGTCCACGCCGGGTAAACTAAAAGCAGCGACCTCAGGGGGGAAGGTTGCGAATCGTCGAAGTGCTGAAAATCCCCCTTTACTGCCGAGCGAAGAGAGACACATTTTCAATGAATCGACGAAAGATGGGGTTGTTACTGCCGAAGTT